ACCTGATTCAATAAAAGGTTGCTTTGGTAATTGGGCACTGGGCATTTGGGCGAACGGAACTCACTGCAATGAATTGCTTGAGTGTCCACCAAACAATAGCTTTCCAGGGCGCAATTATACAATGCCCCCCCCCCCGGGGGGGGGGGGTACTCCCATACATTACCTATACGGATATGTGCCGCCCAAAGGGGTCGTGATTTTGAGCTCCTGATTTAGAACGGGGTATCCATTTCAGAGGTGTTTTCTAGAACGGGGTATAATATTTCGAACGCACGAAAGCTCCACTTTTGTAAGCAGGGCATTTGAAAGTATTCAAGGACAGATTGCTTTAAAAATACGGTTGAATGCGTTAACAAGCAAACCGTTGTACTTTTGTTGCACCCTAGAACGGAGTATAAAAAATTGGCCATTTCTAGAACGGGGTATCAGTTTTAGGGCGAATTCTAGAACGGGGTAAAAAAATTGGCCCATTTCTTCAACGGGGTATCAATTTTAGCGGAAAATTTTTCTAGAACGGGGTGCCAATTTGGAGTCCCGGGCGGCACATACCCACCCAAAAAATACCCAAGTGCCCCCGGCAATGCCCAAAGCAAGAATCAGGAACCCTTAGATTAACCGTTCATTTCAGTAATGCAAATCGTCTTATCCAGCTTGCGATCTTAGTTAAAGACCAAAAGAGAGTGTTAAAGCATTATGAAGGACAGTTTTTCGAAAGTCAAACTTTGCCACTGCGAGAACTATACGGCTATACCGAAATATATCGCAGGGTGATTTTTTCGAAGACCGCTTTATTTTAATTTTTGTTTTTGTTGTTTCTTTGTTTGTTTGTTTATTTTTCAGGCATTCAAAAACCATCTAATTACTGCTAAACCAGACGAGAGCTACTATCATTGCGAGTGTGTGTTGCGCTTACAGAAATTTGCAACTTAAGACATGTATGCTTACTAGAGTTTCAATGATCTTTTAAAATGCTTAAACTTCCTTAATAGCGCGCAAATGACGTCTTACATGCTTTCTTTAGTCACTTGCAATGTTACTCTTTTTCTCAATAAATTCAGTTGTTTTCACATTTTAAAAACTTTTTAAAAAAATTATGGACGTTGACTTTAAATACTTAGGATTTGAAAGCTCAGTCATTGTGGGAAACAACAGAAATCACTTGACCTTGTTAAGAAACTGGCTAGCACCTGTGGCAAAAAGCGTGAATTCTCTCTGGAAGCGCTGTTGGCGTGCATCCGTGGACGGCTGGGCTGCAAGTACATTTCACTCACGATGTGACAGCAAGGGCCCGACTGTGACAATAATAAGGGTCGGGAGATATATTTTCGCAGGATGCACAAGTATTTCATGGGGTAAGTGAGCATTGAAAGCCATGGCTGTGGAATTTATACCTTTGGCGTAATTGGCATTCATATGTTCAGCTAAAAGTGCAGCATGGTACTTAACAGTGTGAAATCATGTGACTGTACCTTTCATACATGGTTAAGCATTGGCGTACAAAGGTTCTATGTTAATAGCTCTAGATGCGAGCCCATATCCACTCGTTCCTCAAGGGGCGAGGACCGCCCCTCCTACACTCGCACGGTGTGAATGAGCGCCACCCCCCACCCCTTCTCTAGAGTTCTGGTTCTGCAGATGATAAGTGAAGCATTTCTAGATTGTCAAAACGTGCCCAAATTCCAGGCTAATGCTATAATAATACATGTAATAATTTTGAGGTTCTAAAATATCGATATTGTTCGGACTTTCTTGCCAACCTGCTATCCTCCATACTTCAATTCCCATATTGCAAAAGTAGCGACTAACGTACTTCATCGCAAGTTTTTGGTGAAATTTGCAAATTTCGGCTAAGAAAAAACACTCGATCGAATTTGTTTTATGAGAATAAGGTATTTACTGTTTTTAATTAATAATAATAATCATCGTCATCATTATGACAGGCACAAGGACAATGTCGCTAACTTATCTTACAAAAGTTCTGTTTCATTTCTTTTAGCTTCTGGTGACCGGTATCAATACGACTCAAAAGCCTTCTTATTTTCGCTGGTAAACAAGCCAGGATGGGCGCCTGTCAAATTGTCTCAGTCAGGACAATCTAGTTCTAGCAGAGCACATTCCATATTCTTTCGCTCAACCTATGGGCCTACATTCGGAGGAGGACATGACATTAACATCAAAAACTACGCGTCATCTAATAGCAATTCTTACAGCGACCTTGGCTATACTTACAGCCCACCGAGCGGGTACAGCTACACAAGCACCTTCGCACGAACATTCCTGGCAGGAACATACAGCTTCACACCAGACAAAGTTGAAACCTTTTACGAAACAACCTAATTAATATAATGCGTGACACCGGCTTTGATATTTGAGCTGAGCTGATTGTACAAGTAGACGCTTAGAGGTGAACGCGGAATCTACAGCACTAAGGAAGCCCCTTATATCTAAATCAGAACACAATCATTAGAACGTATACTGCAACATTTTACAAACAAACGAAAAAAAGAATTGTCAAAAACAGAAATAATTTACAACTACAACTGGTCCAACTGTGCTAATCTTTTTTCACCCGGATACGAGTCTGGTGGCAGTTATACTGTCATCTGTCAGAAAACAGTTACTTCCTTATCATGAGGGCAAAGAAATCTCAGCTTCCGAGTAAACAAAGTTGAAAAAAAAAAAAAAGAAGCAGTACAGTGATATTTTACTGAACCAGGCTGTCCTCACTGCTTTGTTGCGCGATGCGATACCACTAATATTAGTAATCAAACATTAAGATTACTAATTACTTAATGCGGCAACACTATCTCATATATACGGGAATAGACTGCTTGCAGTCACGTGACTATCACCTTCTAGCAGTGTAGTAATAAAAATTACCAGCGTTGGGTTACTACCTCATGTAAGCCCTACGTATAAAATCTGAGGCACATCAGTATCCTTTGTTACTGACCTATTATATAAAATATTATAAATAAAATATACCCTTATAGGAAATTTCTACTGATAATAAATAGATAAAAGATAACGTTTACGGGCCAGTATTAATTGTTAATGTACAGACAAGAATTAAAATTCAATATAATCACTCATGTTTGTCATAAGAAGAGAGCTTTATTCTCTTAACGTTATCAATAATGAGGGTTAATGGTCACGTGGTCAAACTAGTTTCCTTTTCTGTAAACGTGATGTTTGATTTCAGCAATAATTTAAAATATGGTATCTGTTGGAACTTTGACCACGTTTGAGTGCAACAGGAGGAAGGTTAACAACCGGCAGAGCAGCCCGGCTTACGTCAAACTAATGTAAGCTAATTTACTACACTTGTTTTTATGGGCTTAAGGAGAAGGGATCAGGTTTAACTTGCAACTTTCCCTCAAGCTTGGAGTGACTGTGACAGAAAACAAGAATTGAATCAAATAAATTACTCATGCTCGAATGTTTGTTACAAAAAGAGAAACTTTATTCTCTCCACGTTATCAAGAATGAAGAATAAAGCCAATGGTCACGTGGTCAACCTCTTGCCTTTCCTGTAAAACGTGATGTTTGATTTCTGTAATCATTTTAGAATAAGGAAACTGCTAGAACTTTGACCACGTTTGAGTGCAACAAGAAGAAAGTTACAGCTTACGTCAATCTAATGTAAGCCAACACTCTTGTTTTTCTGGGCTAAATCAGAAGCGGATCAGGTTTAATTTGCAACTTTCCCTCAAACTCCCGTCTTCGAGTGGCTGTGAAAGAAAACGATCGTAAAAGTACAAAAATGAAAACCGTAAACTCTTCAAAATCTCAACGAGTCCTTGAGTTTGTTCCGTCAATTAGACCATCGTTCCTTTCGGTGGTATTAGTTTTAGTTTGTGGCTGTCTCTGGGTGAAAAATGAAGCAACAAACAAACGACTGATTTCACTGGAATCTCGTGTTTACTGTGTTCCTTGCACTAAGCGTGGCACCATTGATAATCTTGACAGGATGACTTTCTCACCGACAAAAGATATCGCAATAGACCTTTCCAAGAAGATGCAGGCACAAGTTTCAGATGATGGGAACGGCTATACCTCAGGTAAAATTTATTCTCACTCTTTTTGCTTGGATGGCCTTATGTACATTGAGGACCGGATGTTCAGACCTGCTTTTATTTTCCCTCGGTTAAGACATAACTCGCTTTCATGACGTGAGTTCGCGTTAACAACACCGGATCTTTTGCAATTCCAAAATAGTATTGGATTTTAACTTAGACTGTATGAAACTGTTTTCTATAATGCTCCCTAGATGTCAGTAATTAAGCCACTGTCACTGATAAAAAACTGAAGAGATCTACAGCGTAAATGAAGTTGAATTTATAAATAATGTGTCTACAAGGGCAGAACAAGATTCCTTCACGCCCCAAATAGTCGATATCATTACTATACAGCTTTTCAACAAGATTGTCTTTTTAGGATTTTTAGCTAGACGAGATTAGATGAGGTTCCTTAAACATTTCTTTAAGTGGGGGCTGCATGTGCTTCTGGTTCAGCTGGTTTGAGGTTGTTTGGGGTCGCGGAATTGCAAGGTATTCATTTTTCGATTTATCTGTTTTCTTTCGATTGAGCTATTTTCGTTTAGAACGTTCTGGATAAATTTTCGAATAGTATAGACATTATAGATCAGTATAGACAAAAGGCGTGTATTAAGAGATCATTCAGTCATGGAGATATTTCCGTTTCTTTCAAAGGAGTTCAGTCTAATTTGAAAAACCTTTCTTAATCCTTATGGGATTACAAGAGCGATTGAAAGTAGGTGTATTCAAGATCTCAGTTGGCTTGAAATTCGTGCGCAGGTCTTAAGATTCGATTCTAGTTCTTCTTTTTCAAGTTACCTTTATCAGAAATGTCAGCCGTATTTTCTTTCGTTCTTTCTCGATCTTGTTCATTTTTTTACAATTTATCGATGGGTAATTAACAGGTATTATCTAATTTTACTTTACCGCAGTCAGCCCGTTGCCAATAAAGACATCAGCAACCATCCGGATAAGAAAGCGAAGAAACGTTTTGAACGATACTTCAATTGGCATCACCATACAAGAAGTGAGAGAAGAAATCAGCAAACAGTTTGAACAACTTATGCCCACCAAGTACTGTAAGTCAAGTGACAAGGTATGTCCTGCAGGTCCCCCCGGATATCCTGGTCCCATTGGAGCGAGGGGACCACGTGGCAGGAGGGGACCAAAGGGAAATAAAGGTCCTCAAGGTCCCATGGGACCACGTGGAAAATCCGGAAAAACAGGACTAACTGGTCCCACAGGACCGAGAGGAGAAAAGGGATATAAAGGAGACCCTGGACCAAAAGGCATGCCGGGGCCACCTGGAAGGCCTGGGAAATCGATATCTGCTCCGCAAGTGATGTTCTCGCCAGCAGAGCAGACACGAAATGCGGGAGGAAATACGGCATTTTATTGCACGGTCGCAGGAAGTCCTTCCCCAGTCGTGGAATGGCAATTTAAGGGCAGAAAGCTTCTGTCGAGTGCAAAGTATTTGATTAAAGAAGGAGAGTTGATCGTTAGAAATTTGAATTACAACGATGCTGGGCCGTACACATGTGCTGCTAGGAACATTCTTGGATCGTCCGAGGCCACTGGTAACTTGTCTGTTCGAGGTGAGAGAAGCATTTCATTCTTGAGGTTTGTTGTATAACAGGCCGTCAAATTTTGTTTGTTATATCAGTATGATATGTTACATGTTCTTGCAAGGTAATAAGGTTGCGAGAATTGAACGGCGCATAAACATCTCAAGAAAACTATACGGTGTGAAGGCACACTGACAGAAAATCATCCTCACCTGACCTTTATTTTGACACGCTTTCAGAATCCGGTTAAGACTTTAGTAGCCGTCAGACTACGACTTCTTGAAAAAAAACATTTGACAGATTTGCCAGCTAATAACTAATTGGTTTCACTGCTCCTCTTTTTTCTGTTATGCACAAGAAACATTTCTTGTACAAAGTTTCCCGGAAAAGAAAACACCTAATTTGTCATTTTGCTCAGTTGTAATCCTGCGGTTCCCTGGCGGGTACTTCTTCTAATGTCCTGCACAGGCAGGCTCCTTCCGAAGGGGGTACCATTTTGAGGCTTCAGGTATATGAAAGGGTCCTGCGGTGTTTTACTAGTTGAATTACATAATAGTGTAGGGAAAGCTGTCATTTCGGTCTGTAAGAAGATCTAAAAGGGCTAGAGGAAGGATTTTATGGCTCGCCTTTTCTGCTGAAAATTACATATGGTGTTGGACCTCGGGGAAGGGGGGTGGGAGCCTCCAAGTATAAAACTGTGTTGAGTACCCCACTCCCCTCTCCTCCTTCCCGATGTCGTCCAAGTAGTTTTAGTATGTAAACCTGATAATTATTTTTTTAGGTCTTCCAATATTCACAAAAGTTCCACCTTTACTTGCTGCACCGGTACAAAGCACTACATTCCAAGTAACCTGTCAAGCTGAAGGCTATCCTCGTCCCGTCGTAACCTGGACTAGAGTAGGAATGCCTTTACCTGCTGGAAAAACGAAAATAAACCAAGGCACACTTACCATTAACAACTTGATTCTTGCCGACACCGGTTTATATGACTGTGTAGCTACTAACATCATGGGAACAAAGAAAAGTAGGGTGAGCGTGGCAGTGCAGCGTAGCTCAGCTGCAGGTTTGTCTTAGGCTGTAAGGTCCGCACAGACATAAATTAAACATTTAGTAACATAAACATCAGGCCCCAGTTGTTCAAAAGCTGGATGGCGCTATCCATCGCATAAATCACTATCCAGTGGATAAGTATTAGGGAAACCAATTGCACTATCCACTGGATAGCGCTATCCACGTTTTTGCCTAAACTGACGCCTGGTGACCTTTGTTAAAGGTCACAGAGATCGCAAGACCAAGGGTCCCTGAATCCTGTTTAAGACTACTTTAATAGGCTTAGCTGACTCAGACTACAGTGTATACTTAAGTGGAATGTAAAACATATAGGACCGCCGTTGATGATGGCCTTTTATTTATTGTTAAAAAGCAGTGTCGTTGTTAAAGGCTGAATATGCTCGTGTAGCAATTGTTTAAAGGGAAAGAAGGAGGGAAGCCTATACTCGAGTTTAAGTATAAATCCTAAAATTTGCTCTCCAGAAAATAAAGTGACTTTTGCTATCTAGCCTCTAGAAGCTCGCAATGTTACACTTGATAAAGGATTCATTTGATGCCGAATTTTTAAATAGCTCTACTTGGCTTCAACAGAGTCAGGGGCACCCAACGACAATTCTCGGAGAGAGATCTAGAATTTTCGGAACATTTGTTGTAAAATTTCTTGCTTGCCTGCTTCTGCTAGGATTTTCGAACATCTAAAAAATGGTATAATTGCCAATTTTTAACGGATTTTTACCCTAAAAAGGTCACCTAGAATTTTCGGGAGCCGTTTTTCTGGCTGGAATTTTCGAAAAAGTAAGTTTTGATCCCTATAATTTTCGGGTCACTAGACTTTCAGCTAGGAAATCCGAACAGATGAAAAACTTTTAGGGGATAAAAATATGCCTATATCTACCGTTTCAATACTAAAATACGTTTAACAATGCTATGTTTATAATAAGTGGTTTTGAACTATATTCTCGTTGGGTGCCCCTGCAGAATTCTTTTGTCAAAAACGAAAAGTCGAATTTTTTTCCCCAGGTTTGCACGACTCTGTTATTGTGGGAAACAACAAAAATCACTTAGCCTCGTTAAGAAACTGGCTTGCACCTGTCACAAAAAGCGTCAATTCTCTCTGGAAGCGCTGCTGGCGTGCATCCGTGGACGGCTGGGCTGCAAGTACATTTCACTCACGATGTGACACCAAGGGCCCGACTGTGACAATAATAAGGGTCGGGAGATATATTTTCGGAGGATACGCAAGTATTTCATGGGGTAAGTGAGCATTGTAAGCCATGGCAGTGGCATCTATACCTTTGACGTAATCAGTTGGCACTGATATGTTCAGCTAAAAGTGCAGCTTGGTACTTAGCAATATGGAATCATGTGACTCTACCTTTCATACATGGTTAAGTAGTGGCGGACAAAGGTTCTAGGTTAATAGCTCTAGATGCGGGCCCATTTCCCCTCGTTCCTCAAGGGGCGAGGACCGCCCCTCCTACACTCACATGGAGTGAATGAGCGCCACCCCCCCTCCCCCTCTTCTCAAGTTCTGATTTTCTGCAGATGATAAGTGATGCCTTTCTAGCCTGTCAAAACGGGTCCAAATTCCAGGCTAACACTATTACAATAATAAATTTTAGGTCATAAAGTATCGATATTGTTCTGACTTTCTTGCCACCCTGCTATCTTCCATCCTTCAATTACCATATTGCAAAAGAAGCGACTAACGTACTACATCGCAAGTTTTTGGTGAAATTCGCAAATTTTGGCAAAGAAAAAACACGCTCTCTTGACATGTCCACGTACGTGATACACCAAGACGAAGGTTCATTTCACCGATCAAACTTTCGTAATTTTGCCTAAGTGAAATGTTGCGAAGAGGATTCTTCTCTTCGGATTCGAACGTACTTAATAGACTGAAATGGGTGACAGAAATACATAATGTTTTATACCTTTTCAAGGATAAAGGCTCCTAAAACTCTTTATTGTCTGTTTCCTTTTATTGTCTTCTTAATACAGTACCCTTAAAATCAAACGAAGTATTAATTTACCAATAAAAGTGTATTGCGACATGCACCAGTTCATGTAAAAAAGAAACTGTATCTTTTACCAAAATACCTGAACGTAAATAATAATGCAATAAAATAATATTCATACTAATGATAATGATGATGATAATAATATTAATAATAATAATAATAATAATAATAATAATCTTTAGATAGTCATTTTACGACAATTCTTTTTCGTACACAAGAAGAATGTACATAGGGTATATATTTTAATATTTCATATTTTTGAATCTGTAAATGGTCTATTTTTTTTCAATCTATGAATAAAGTTTTGTATTAAAATTAATGATAATAATAATTATTATTATTTTTCAATCGAAATTAAGTGTCTTCTTTTAATCGAAAGGAATAATGTAAATAGTGCTTGGACGGAATAGTTTTTTAAGTGAAATTAATTGTAAATAGGATTTTATAGTTAGCTTTGTTATCAATAATAATAATAATATAATAATAATAATAATGATAATAATAATATTGATAATGATAATGATAATAATAAGGAAGACATAGAAACTGATTTCGTTTTTGATAAATGACGAACGTTACTGAGAAATTCTATCGAATTTGTTTTATGAGAATAAGGTATTTACTGTTTTTAATTAATAATAATAATCATCATCGTCATCATTATGACAGGCACAAGGACAATGTCGCTAACTTATCTTAGAAAAGTTTTGTTTCATTTCTTTTAGCTTCTGGTTCCTACCGGTATCAATACGACTCAAAATCCTTCTTATTTTCGCTGGTAAACAAGCCAGGATGGGCGCCTGTCAAATTGTCTCAATCAGGGCAACATAGTTCTAACAAGGAATCCATATACTTTGACTCATCCTATGGGCCTACATTCGGAGGAGGATTTGACATTTACATCAAAAACTACGCGTCATCTAATAGCGATTCTTACAGCAACCTTGGCTATACTTACAGCCCACCGAGCGGGTACAGCTACCAAAGCACCTTCGCACGAACATTCCTGGCAGGAACTTACACGTTCACACCAGACGAAGTTGAAACCTTTTACGAAACAACCTAATTAATATAATGCGTGATACTGGCTTTGATATTTGACCTGAGCTTATTGTACAAGTAGACGCTTAGAGGTGAACGAATGTACAGCACTAAGCAAGCCCCTTATATCTAAATCAGAACACAATCATTAGAACGTATACTACATCATTTTACAAACAAACGAAAAATAGAATTGTCAAAAAGAGAAATGATTTTGCTATCTATAACTGGTCCAACTGCTCTGATTATAAATGGCTGATAAAAGCGTGTTATAAAGTATCTCCCAAGCTGTTCACAGTACCGCGTAGGCCTTAACCCAACCCTAATCTTTTTTCACCTGGGTATACGAGTCTAGGTGGGGACAGCTATACTATCATCTGTCAGAAAACAGTTACATCCTTATCATGAGGGCAAAGAAATCTCAACTTCCGAGTAAACAAAGTTATTAAAAAAAGCAGTACAGTGATATTTTACTGAACCAGGCTGTCCTCACTGGCGGTTTGTAACTGTGGCTTGGCCTTCATAAGTATTATAAATTAATAATCCATAAGGAAACTTAAGAGTCTTAAGAGATAACACTGATCAAAGTTAGGTTTTACTCGATCCGCGTGCATAATGCCGGATACCACTATATAAATATTAGTAATCAAAGATTAAAATAACTATCTCTAATTATCTCATATACAGGTATAGACTGCTTGCAGTCACGTGACAATCCCGATCACCTTCTGGCAGTGTAGTACAGATTAAATTTAAGAGCGTTGGGTTACTAATTCATGTAAGCCTTACGTATAATATCTGAGGCACATCAGTAGCCATCATGAATGTCTAGTATACAAAATATGAATGTAATATACACTCATGACAAATGTATACTGATTATAAATAGGTAAAAGATCACGTTCACGGGCTAGTATTAATTGTTTTTACAGACAAGAATTAAAATTCAATAAAATTACTCAGTTTTGATATAAAAAGAGGGCTTCATTCTCTCAACGTTATCAATAATGTCTGTTAATGGTCACGTGCTCAACCTTGTTTCCTTTACTGTAAACGTCATGTTTGATTTAAGCAATAATTTAAAATATGGTATCTGTTGGAACTTTGAACACATTTGAGTGCAGCAGGAGGAAGGTTAACAACAGGAAGAGCAGCCCGGATTACGTCAATCTAATGTAAGCTAATTTTAACCAACAATACACTCGTTTTTATGGGCTTAATGAGAAGGGATCAGGTTTAACTTCCAACTTTCTCTCAAACGTGGATAGACTGTGACAGAAAACAAGAATTAAATTAAATAAAATTACTCATACTCGAATGTTTGTTACTAAAAAGCCAAAGGAAGAAGGTCAATTAGGATTTTTCTTTAGCATTTCCTTTATATGATTTTTTTAGGCTAGTGCATGAATAATTTTTTTTTCGGTTCTTAGCGTGCATGAATTTTCTCATTTAGGTTTCCCTTACACGAATATTTTGTTTTTGTTCTTCACCTTCCTCCTCCCCCATGGCCATAAGTTAATTTTTTTTAGAACTGTCAGTGCCGTGCCTTGTGACACTGCTTATAAAGTCTTGTTATATTTTCGCCAATCGTGATGACATGTGTCGCTAAGCGAAATTTTTAGGGTTCAAGTTTTACTGGCAAGTTTCCCACTTACCTCCGTCTTCATATGCATGGGACGATTGGCATGCAAGCTGCAGAAATGAAATCCTCGAACTCCTCAGAATCTCGTCGACTCCTTGATTTTCTTCCGTCACTTAGACCATCGTTCCTTTCTGTTGTATTAGTTTTTGTCTGCCGATGTCTCTGGGTGAAGAATGAAACAACAAACGAACGACTGATCGCGCTGGAGTCTCGCGTTAACCTTTTCCCCTGCGTTCAGAGGGTGTTACGAAAACTAAGACCCTCGAAAACTAAGACCTAAGACCTAAGGCCCGTCTTAGTTTTCGAGATTACGAAAACTAAGACCCCCTAAAATCGAATCCGTCGAAATATAAAGTCAAATTGTAACCGAAATAGGTCTAATCTGTCAAATAATATCATGTTCGATCCTTTCCACCGAGTTTTAGGTCAAATTTACCGGTAAATTTAGGGGTCTTAGTTTTCGTAATTTCGAAAACTAAGACCCCTCTTAGTTTTCGTAATTACGAAAACTAAGACCCCCACCAAAACGATCTCTAAAATTTCTACAAAGTCGAATTACCCCGAATTACGACCGTTTGAAGACTATAATCCGTAAGACAAACAAAAACTACTCAGGGGGGCACCCAACGAGAATATAGTTCAAACCACTTAAACATAATATTGTTAAACGTATTTTAGTATTTAAACGGTAGATATAGGCATCTTTTTATCCCCTAAAAATTTTTCATCTGTTCGGATTTCCTAGCTGAAAGTCTAGTGATCCGAAAATTATAGGGATCAAAACTTACCTTTTCGAAAATTTCAGCCAGAAAAAAGGCTTCCGAAAATTCTAGGTGACCTTTTTAGGGTAAAAATCCGTTAAAAATAGGCACATATACCATTTTTTGATTGTTCGAAAATCCTAGGAGAGGCAGGCAAGCAAGAAATTTTACAACAAATGTTTCGAAAATTCTAGATCTCAAATCGTCTTCCGAACAGATATTCTTCCGAAAATTGCCGTTGGGTGCCCCTGACTACTATCATACGCGTGCAAATCTACGATCCGCTAACAATTTGGAGACTCGCTTTAAAAAGAGGACCTAAGCCATAGACTTCCTACGTATCTATTGTACACTGAAAATATGCCTTACCCCTACTGGTCTTTAATTTTGTTGTTTATCCTTTAAATCATGAAATTGGCTTTCCACTGGGGATGGAAGTTTTTCCGGGAATCCTGACCTTTGGCAACCTACTGTCACGCAATCTTCACTTTGTATTGATTGTTTATTTTATTGTTCTGAAATTAGAACTCCAATTCTCGAGACGATGCTTTGCTAGCACAGGAAATGCATTCACTCATTCCTTTTTTTAAATTATTATTATTATTATTTCATGGGTGATTTTAGCGATTATCCCTCAGAGACTATTTCTCCTTGCCCCCCACTCCTACCCCTCAACTACCTTTGCATTGTAACCCGGCGATCTCCGGGGTGGCAACGATAAAAACAAACGCTAGAAAAACGCAATGTAGCATATTCTCCTTTTTTCGCCTTTTTTATAAAAACACTTTCTATCTATGACCTGGCCAGAAAAGGAAAAAAAAAATCCGTATGTTTGTGTGATGTTTAACCGATAACGCCGTTGACCACTTAACAATCAGGCATTCAGGTCGCAGCGACATGTCAGCCCGCAACGAAGACAAAAATCCATCTCCAGTGGAAAACCAATTTCATGACTTTAAGGATAAACAACCAAAATTATAGGGGTAAGGCATATTTTCAGTGTACAGCTATACGTAGGTACTCTATAGCTTACATCCTCTTCTTAAAGCCGCAATATTGATAATGTATGTCTACAAATTGTCAGAAGAAGCGGATCGTCTAGCACGCGGATGATAGTAGTTTTTGTTTGTCTTACGGATTATAGTCTTCAAACGGTCGTAACTCGGGGTAATTCGACTTTGTAGAAATTTTAGAGATTGTTTTGGTGGGGGTCTTAGTTTTCGTAATTACGAAAGTAAGAGGGGTCTTAGTTTTCGAAATTACGAAAACTAAGACCCCTAAATTTACCGTTAAATTTGACCTAAAACTCGGTGGAAAGGATCGAACATGATATAACTTGGCAGATCAGACCTATTTCGGTTACAATTTGACTTTACATTTCGACGGATTCGATTTTAGGGGGTCTTAGTTTTCCTAATCTCGAAAACTAAGACGGGTCTTAGGTCTTAGGTCTTAGTTTTCGGAACACCCGCGTTCAGAGTGTCTCGGCTGAAAATACTGACAGGATGTCTCTTTTACCGACAAAAGGCACAGCAAGAGATCCTTATAAGAAGGTTCAGACACATATTTCAGAAAGGATTGGTTATAATCCAGGTAAAATCATCGCTTCAGATATTTTTTAGATGCAAATAGATGTTTAGAACGGAGTTTATCCTCGTTTGATTTAGGCATATAATCTTTCACAGTGCTAACCGTGTGCGAGTTTACGGGATCTTTGGATATTTCATGACAGAATTGAATTTTAACTTCAACTAACACTGTATGAACCCTAATTTGAAATACTCTCACTCTTTTGTAATACTGCTGAGATATTCACTTAGCCACCTATACTGGTAAATCAGTAAAGAAATTTACGGTGTAAATGATGTTGAATCATGGCTTAAGTGGCGAACGACTTGCTCACGTACAAGATATGTGGTCGATACGGCCATAAAGCTCCATTAAACAAAAAATTATCGCTTGCATATTCGACCATTTAGGATGGTAGAGGAAGCTCCCTAAGCATTTAGGGTGTGCGTTTAGAGTGTGCATAACAGTTTTACGCAACTGAGCTTGTTTAAGTCGTGTAAGGTTGAGCACGGATGGCGTTACAAAAGGCAATAGTGCACAGCATTTTTTTTCTGCGTTTATCTGTTTGTTGCAGAGCTTATTTCTTCAAGGAAAAGAAAATTTTTTAGCTCTGTGTGAATAAAGTTGTTACGGTAGCGTAAAATTTGAGAATTTTTTTTCTTAAACGGCTTTACAGGAGTTCGGTTAAGGAGTCTTAGGGATAGCCGATAGGGTGGCAAGATGAAATGTGCGTTTATTGAACGTTCTCAGTTGGTTTGAATCCCCCGGAGGGGGAGGGGGGGTACTCCCTATGATAGCCTAGACGGAGCGGCTTCGTTTCCCCAAAAGGAGTATCTTTTTCAGGCTTAAGGTATATGAAAGGGTAGGGATTTCATTTGTGGAAGTATATAAAAGTGTAGGGAAATCTGTCATTTGGTCTGTGAAAGGGCCCAAAGGGGCTAACACATGAATTTTTGGCTTTATAAAGTCGAAAAACGTTCTGTTTTTCTGATTGATTCCCATTTAAAAGACAGTGCATTTACAGCAGTTAAAAGAGATGCAAAGTTTTAAACAAGGTTTGTGAAAGGCGTGCCATTTCTCAATGGAAGGTAGTATACGAAAGGGGTACCTTTTCAAGGCAAAAAGAGGTATAGGGGTTGAACCTCGAGGTGGAGCCTACCCGTATAAACATTTGTTGAGTACCCCCCTCTCCGGGGGTTTGAAATGTGTGCGTTTGTCAAGAATGAGCTTGGCTTTCCTTTGGAAGCAGGAAGGGAAGAAGACTGGGGACAAATTAAAAAGTTGGCTCCAATGTGTTAATAACCTTTTTGTGGAACGCAATCTCTGAAACGCTTAATTTTGTGTTAGAAATGTCAACCTTATCATTCATTTGTTTTCTCTTTATTTTTGATATTACTGAATTAGTATGGATATTTAACAATTCCTTAATTTTTCTTAACTGCAGCCAGCCCGTTGCCAAAAAAGGCATCAGCAACCATCCGGCTAAGAAGACGAAGACGTCTTTTAAATGACTATCAACTAGTGTCACCATAAATGACGTGCGAAAAGAAATCACAAAACAGTTTGAACAACTTATGCCCACCAAATACTGTAAGTCAAGTGAGAAGGTATGTCCTGCAGGTCCCCCCGGATATCCTGGTTCCACGGGAGCGAGGGGACCACGTGGCAGGAGGGGACCAAAGGGAAAGAAAGGTCCTCAAGGTCCCATAGGACCTCCTGGAAAATCTGGAAAAACAGGAATGATGGGCTTCACAGGACCGAAAGGAGTAAAGGGAGATAAAGGAGAATCTGGGCCAAAAGGCATGCCGGGACCACCTGGAAGTCCTGGGAAATCGCTATCTGCCCCACAAGTGATGTTGTCGCCAGCAGAGCAGACACGAGATGAGAAAGGAAATACGGCATTTTATTGCACGGTTGTAGGAAACCCTTCCCCAGTCGTGGAATGGCAATTTAAGGGCACAAAGCTTCTGTCAGGTGCAAAGTATCTGATTAAACAAGGAGAGTTGATCGTTAGAAATCTGAATTACAGCGATGCTGGACCGTACACATGTGCCGCCAGGAACATTCTTGGATCGTCTGAAGCCACTGGCAACTTGACTGTTCGAGGTAAGAGGAGCATTTAACTTAGAGTTTTGTTATATCTGGCTGCTTGATTTTGTAGGCCTCTTTGTGCTCTGAGAATGCGAGAATACGAGGTTGGAATATAAAAATGACACCGTTGTTTAATCATTTACTTTTATCTCCTCTTTCATTTTTTCCTTATTTTTTCAGCAGTGTATAACGCCAAACTTGAAATTTACTCACTTACACCTTAAGCTGATGATCAAGGACTATAGAGTAGTCACGAGTATAGTTCAACTTTTAATCTGAGCCATACAAACGTAAAGACATTAAATAATGTTAAAGATAATAACACATGACGGGAATATTTGGACCTTACATGAACGCGAGGGCGCACAACACAATCCTTCTCCTCCTTTCTTTTTAGCTTAGACCACCAGGGGAGGTTACTTAGGTTAAATTTTTGCAGGATATGTGCCGCTGGCCTCTCAAAACGCCTACCCCATTATATTCTATGCATGCTGGTCGCTCATGTACTGGCTCTATTTCAGGTCTTCCATTCTTCAGAAAAGTTCCACCTTCACTTGCCACACCAGTTCAAGGCACGACGTTTCAAGTAACATGTCAAGCTGACGGATATCCTCGCCCCGCGATAACCTGGACTAGAGCAGCAATGCCCTTACCTGCTGGAAAGACTAGTATAAACCAAGGCACACTTACCATTAACAACTTGAGTCCTGCTGACAACGGTTTTTACGACTGCGTAGCTACTAACATTATGGGAACAAAGAAGAAAAGACTCAACCTAGCAGTACAAGTGCATCGTTCAGGTTTGTATTGAAGGCACCGTCTCACCCTGTATATACCTGATTCAAGAAAAGGTTGCTTTGGTAATTGGGCACTGGGCATTTGGGCGAACGGAACTCAATGCAATGAATTGCTTGAGTGTCCACCAAACAATAGCTTTCCAGTGCGCAATTATACAGTGCCCCCCCCGGGGGGGGGGGTACTTCCATACATTACCTATACGGGTATGTGCCGCCCAAAGGGGTCGTGATTTTGAAGCTCCTGATTTAGAACGGGGTATCCATTTCAGAGGCGTTTTCTAGAACGGGGTATAATATTTCGAACGCACGAAAGCTCCACTTTTGTAAGCAGCCATTTGAAAGTAATCAAGGACAGATTGCTTTTAACAATACGGTTGAATGCGTTAACAAGCAAACCGTTGTACTCTTGTTGCACCCTAGAACGGAGTATAAAAAATTGGCCATTTCTAGAACGGGGTATCAGTTTTAGGGCGAATTCTAGGACGGGGTAAAAAAATTGACCCATTTCTACAACGGGGTATCAATTTTAGGGGAAACTTTTTTTTTGAACGGGGTGCCAATTTGGAGTCCCGGGCGGCACATACCCACCCAAAAAATACCCAAGTGCCCGACTAACGTACTTCATCGCAGGTTTTTGGTGAAATTTGCAAATTTCGGCTAAGAAAAAACACTCGATCGAATTTGTTTTATGAGAATAAGGTATTTACTGTTTTTAATTAATAATAATCATTATTATCGTCATCATTATGACAGGCACAAGGACAATGTCGCTAACTTAGCTTACAAAAGTTCTGTTTCATTTCTTTTAGCTTCTGGTTCTGGCCGGTATCAATACGACTCAAAAGCCTTCTTATTTTCGCTGGTAAACAAGCCAGGATGGGCGCCTGTCAAATTGTCTCAGTCAGGACAATCTAGTTCTAGCAGAGCACATTCCATATTCTTTCGCTCAACCTATGGGCCTACATTCGGAGGAGGACATGACATTAACATCAAAAACTACGCGTCATCTAATAGCAATTCTTACAGCGAACTTGGCTATACTTACAGCCCACCGAGCGGGTACAGCTACGGCAGCACCTTCGCACGAACATTCCTGGCAGGAACATACAGCTTCACACCAGACGAAGTTGAAACCTTTTACGAAACAACCTAATTAATAATGCGTGACACCGGCTTTGATATTTGAGCTGAGCTGATTGTACGCTTAGAGGTGAACGCGGAATCTACAGCACTAAGCAAGCCCCTTATATCTAAATCAGAACACAATCATTAGAACGTATACTACAACATTTTACAAACAAACGAAAAAAAGAATTGTCAAAAACAGAAATAATTTTGATATCTACAACTGGTCCAACTGTGCTGATCTTTTTTCACCCGGATACGAGTCTGGGGGCAGCTATACTGTCATCTGTCAGAAAACAGTTACTTCCTTATCATGAGGGCAAAGAAATCTCAGCTTCCGAGTAAACAAAGTTGAAAAAAAAAAAGCAGTACAGTGATATTTTACTGAACCAGGCTGTCCTCACTGCTTTGTTGCCCAATGCGATACTAGTAATATTAGTAATCAAAGATTAAGAATACTAATTGCTTAATGCGGCAACACTATCTCATATATACGGGAATAGACTGCTTGCAGTCACGTGACTATCACCTTCTAGCAGTGTAGTAATAAAAATTACCAGCGTTGGGTTACTACCTCATGTAAGCCCTACGTATGAAATCTGAGACACATCAGTATCCTTTGTTACTGACCTATTATATAAAATATTATAAATAAAATATACCCTTATAGGAAATTTCTACTGATAATAAATAGATAAAAGATAACGTTTACGGGCCAGTATTAATTGTTAATGTACAGACAAGAATTAAATTCAATAAAATCACTCATGTTTGTCATAAAAAGAGAGCTTTATTCTCTTAACGTTATCAATAATGAGAGTTAATGGTCACGTGGTCAAACTAGTTTCCTTTTCTGTAAACGTGATGTTTGATTTCAGCAATAATTTAAAATATGGTATCTGTTGGAACTTTGACCACGTTTGAGTGCAACAGGAGGAAGGTTAGCAACCGGCAGAACAGCCCGGGTCACGTCAAACTAATGTAAGCTAATTTACTACACTTGTTTTTATGGGCTTAAGGAGAAGGGATCAGGTTTAACTTGCAACTTTCCCTCAAACTTGGAGTGACTGTGACAGAAAACAAGAATTGAATTAAATAAATTACTCATGCTCGAATGTTTGCTACAAAAAGATGAACTTTATTCCCTGCACGTTATCAAGAATGAAGAATAAAGCCAATGGTCACGTGGTCAACCTCTTGCCTTTCCTGTAAACGTGATGTTTGATTTCTGCAATTATTTTAGAATAAGGAAACTGTTGCAACTTTGACCACGTTTGAGTACAACAAGAAAAAAGTTACAGCTTAAGTCAATCTAATGTAAGCTAACACTCTTGTTTTTCTGGCCTAAATCAGAAGCAGATCAGGTTTAACTTACAACTTTCCCTCAAACTTCCGTCTTCGAGTGGCTGTGAAAGAAAACGATCGTAAAAGTACAAAAATGAAAACCGTAAACTCTTCAAAATCTCAACGAGTCCTTGAGTTTGTTCCGTCAATTAGACCATCGTTTCTTTCTGTTGTATTAGTTTTCGTTTGCGGATGTCTCTGGGTGAAAAATGAAGCCACAAACTAACGACTGATTTCACTGGAATCTCCTATTTACTGTGTTTCTTGCACTAAGCGTGGCACCATTGATAATCTTGACAGGATGACTTTCTCACCGACAAAAGATGTCGCAATAGACCTTTCCAAGAAGATGCAGACACAAGTTTCAGATGATGGGAACGGCTATACCTCAGGTAAAATTTATTCTTACTCTTCTTACTTGGATGGCCTTATGTACATTGAGGATGTTTAGACCTGCTTTTATCCTCCCTCGGTTAAGACATAACCTTTCATGACGTGAGTTCGCGTTAACAACCCGGGATCTTTTGCAATTCCAAAATAGTATCAGATTTTAACTTAGACTGTATGAAAGTGTTTTGTAATGCTCCCTAGATTTCAGTAATTAAGCCACTGCCACTGGTAAGAAACTGAAGAGATCTACAGCGTAAATGAAGTTGAATTTATAAATAATCTGTCTACAACGGCAGAACAAGATTCCTTCACGCGCCAGATAGTCGATATCATTACTATACAGCTTTTCAACAAGATTGTCTTTTTAGGATTTTTAGCTAGACGACATTAGATGAGGTTCCTTAAACATTTCTTTAAGTGGGGGATGCATGTGCTTCTGGTTTGAGGTTATTTGGGGTCTCGGAATTGAAATGTATTGCTTGACCAATTTCAAGCAATAATCACCCAATTCTTGGCAATTTATTTTTAGATTTATCTGTTTGCTTTATATTGAGCTATTTTCGTTTAGCACTTTCTGGATAAATTTTCGAATAGTATAGACATTATAGATCAGTAAAGACAAAAGGCGTGTATTAAAAGATTATTCATACACGGAGATATTTCCGTTTCTTTCAAAGGAGTTCAGTCTAATTTGAAAAACATTTCTTAACCCTTATGGGATTACAAGAGCGATTGAAAGTAGGTGTATTCAAGATCTCAGTTGGCTTGAAATTCGTGCGCAGCTCTAGTTCTTTTTGTAAGTTACCTTTATCAGAAATGTCAGCCGTACCATTCTTTCGTTCCTTATCGATCTTGCTCATTTTTACAATTTATCAATGTAATTAACAGGTATTATCTAATTCTACTTTACTGCAGTCAGCTTGTTGCCAATAAAGGCAACAGCAACCATCCGGGTACGAAAGCGAAGAAACAGCTTGAACGACACTTCAACTGGCATCACCATACAAGAAGTGAAAAAAGAAATCAGCAAACAGTTTGAACAACTTATGCCCACCAAGTACTGTAGGTCAAGTAAGAAGGTATGTCCTGCAGGTCCCCCCGGGTATCCTGGTCCCATTGGAGCGAGGGGACCACGTGGCCGGAGGGGACCAAAAGGAAAAAAAGGTTCTCAAGGTCCCATAGGTCCTCCTGGAAAATCCGGAAAAACAGGAATGACGGGTCCCGCAGGACCGCAAGGAGAAAAGGGAGACAAAGGAAAGCCTGGACCAAAAGGAATTCCGGGACCACCTGGAAGGCCTGGAAAGTCGATATCTGCCCCACAAGTGATGTTGTCGCCGAATAAATAGACTCGAGATGAAGGTGGAAATACGGCGTTTTATTGCACGGTCGTAGGAAATCCTTCCCCAGTCGTGGAATGGCAATTTATGGGCATAAAACTTCTATCAGATGCAAAGTATTTGATTAAAGAAGGAGAGTTGATCGTTAGAAATCTGAATTACAGCGATGCTGGGCCGTACACATGTGCAGCCAGAAACATTCTTGGATCGTCTGAGGCCACAAGTAACTTATCTGTTCGAGGTGAGAGAAGTATTTTACTTTTGAGGTCTCTTAAATAAGGCCGTTTAATTTTGTTTGATATGTCATTATATGTTTCATGTCCTCGCAAGGTAATAAGGTTGCGAGAATTGAACATCATTTTTTTAAACATCCAAGGAAACCTGTAAGATGTAAAGGCATAGTCGAACACCATCCTCAATCAATCAATCAATCAAACAATAACTTGTATTATTAACGTGTCATAGCTTTTAGCGCAACACAAGTGGTGAACTAATCGGGGACACTCCCCCTGACATATTACCTTAGAGTGAGTTAATTGAGCTAGCCTGATGCCTCACTGATGAAACACCTTGTAAAATGCCTGGGACGATTCGTGACCTTTTCACACGCTTTTAATACGGTTTTTTGTATCTGAGTAGCCGAATCTTCAAATTGAAAAAAAAGACACTGAAAGAGTTACTAACCAATAATTTGAATTTCCTTTTCCTTTCTGTTATACAGATAAAAATCTTGTACAAAGTTTCCCGAAAAAGAAAAGATCTATGGGTCGTCATCGTTCTCAGTTGCAATCGTTTGGACCATTAGGGCTTTATAGTATAAACCAGATAATTTTTCTTTTCAGGTCTTCCAATCTTCACAAAAGTTCCACCTGCACTTGCCACAGCTGTACAAGGCACTACGTTTCAAGTAACCTGTCAAGCAGAAGGCTATCCTCGTCCTGTAATAACCTGGATTCGAGCGGTGCTACCTTTTCCTGCCGGCAGGACTGAGGTAAACAGGGGTACATTAACCATTAAGAACCTAAACCCGGCTGACAACGGTTTGTACGAATGTATGGCAACGAACAGCATTGGAACGAAAAAGGCCAGGATCAATGTGGCAGTACAACGTAGCTCAGCTGCAGGTTTGTCTTTTGCGGCAAGGCAGGGGGGGATCTAGGATTTTTCTAAGGTGGGGTTGCACCTCGAAGGAATTGCTTAACTGACTGGTGACGTAAACCAGGAGCCTATTACATTAGGCTTTTTCAGTGCCAAACTACCATTTTTACGGTGTTTAACATAAATGCTTCAACCTCGCTTGATGTTTTACTTCAACACCAATAAACCACATAGTTTTATTTGCAGTATACCAGTTGTATTAGAAAGCCGAAGGTCATCTTAGGGGTGTGCAGTGCTCACCCCTGCGCCCTACCCCTAGATCCGCCCATGTAAGGTCTGCACAGACATAAATTGAACATTTAGTGACATGTAACATAATCCTTAATGGAGACCATGGTTTACAGATTGTAGAGATTGAACAGCCATTATATCCAGTTCAAGACAAATTTGTTACGGCACTATCACAACATCACTCAGACTTCTTAACTTGAATTTGTATAGTATTGACAGTGATGGTCTTTCATATTGCTATTAAACGAGGGTCATTGTTAGAGGTTGTCCTGTGTGTAGTAGGTTCTTAAAGGGAAAGGGGGAGCCTTCACTAGAGTTTGAATTTGAAATACTAAAACCAGACTAAAACGTTCCTCGCCAGAAAATAAAGTGGTACTTGATATCCAGTCTCTTGTCACTTGGATACCGTTACACTTGACAAGGAAATCAATTAATGAAGAATTTTTAAACAGTTCTACTTATATCCTTGGCCATAACAGTGTTTTTTGCCAAATAAAAGAAGTAGATTTTGTTTCCTCCCAGGTTTGCACGACTCCGTTATTGTGGGAAGCAACAAAAATTATTTAACCTCGTTAAGCAACTGGCTGGCACCTGTGGCAAAAAGCGTTAATTCTCTCTGGAAACGCTGTTGGCGTGCATCTGTGGACGGCTGGGCTGAAAAGTACATTTCACTCCCAATGTGACGGCAAGGGCCCGACTGTGACAATAATAAGGGTCGGGAGATACATTTTTGGAGGATACACCAGTAAATCCTGGCGTAAGTGCGCATTGTAAGGGGCGGTTATCTGTACCTTTGCAGTTACTTGCATGGATATGTTGGGCTAAAAGTGCAGCTTGATAGCTTGGTACTGAGCAATGTGGAGTCAGTTTGACCTTGCATGGTTAAGGTCTCGGTAAATGAAAATTTTAGTACATTGCTCGATTTTGTTTTTTTTGGATTTTTGGCATGAATGGGTCCTAAATTTTATTTTGGCAGAAAAAGAAAATCAGAAAGTGCTTTTTAACCCTTCTAAAATGAGCCTTTTCTGAGCTAACCAGCTAAGCGTGGACCTCGCGCTAAATCTTTAAAGCTGATTTTCTCTCACTCTATTTTAGACGCAAAAATCAAAATTCTCCGACCTCCAGTCGGGACAGGTTATAAGCTATCGCTTTGAAACTTTCAGATATGATGGATAATGATATAGACTCAAAAAGGGTGTGAGGAATTTTCCGATTTCCCTTTGTAACTTTTTCTATGTCAGTTTCTTTGCGTAAATCGCGCTCGAGATTAGACGTTTTAGTTTGAAATGCAATAATTCCGCTAATACGAGACATATGCAAATTTCCTCACACCCTTTTTTAGGTCTTTTATCTGTCAATCAGATGCAATAAAAAGGAAGTGAATATTTAACAACGCGAAAGGGCTGGAGCTTCAGCAGTAAACTCGATACCTCTGAGTTCGAGAGCAAATAACTTAAGCGCCTTTTGAAATTCGATGAAATAAAATCTTTTATAAGGTAATTTAGTCTTTTAGCTTTAATTTGATATATAACATGCCTTTGTAGCGAAAATACTCGCGCGACTAGAATTTTTTTCTCTGGGCACCTCGTTTTCCTTTACCGAGACCTTAAGCAGTAGCCGATAAAGGATTCAGGTTGGCGGATCTAGGTTCGGACGCGCACCCCCTCGCCCCTCTAAAACCGAGGACCCCCCTCCTTGACTCACAAGGAATTAGCAAATGTGGCAAAAAAACAATTACAGCAACAGATTTTTTTGTCGATCATGATTTTGACAGATTTGCTCTATACAAGTTACAACAGGAAATATCTAATCACCCGACGTTTTCTTTATTATTCTTCAAATATTTTTTGCTCGAATCTATTGCTTTGTAATTGCAAATTTTTGCTTTAAACAGCTCTCATAGACGAAAACCTTAGCTCCGGTAAGCGAACAGTCTCTTAGGTTTCAGGACCCCGATTGTTAACCTCCCGTTCAAAAAGTGACTGCTTGTGGGAGGTTTTATTGCAAGCAATTTTAGTTTAATTTTTAAAATAAAACACTGCAGGCTCCTGACACATTCTCATGGTTATTTTATCAATAATTTATAAAATACTTAGCATCTGTAAATTTTGTTCCATTAATTGTATACTACTAGGCGACCCAGTGATTTACATTTTTCGTTTTAATCGGATGTGTTTGGAGTTATTCTTGTCGAGGGTATAGATGTAAGTAGGGTCATGATTAATCATGAGTGGATTTCAAGTCAGGGGTAATCGGCTGTGTATTCCAAAGTGTTTATTTGCTTTTTTAATGTTAAATGGAATGATATATGTTGACAAGAGAAGAACTAAAAAAATTCTTGAGTTCCAGATAGGAATTAAACCCGCGACACCATCCATGACGTATCCATGAGCTATTGGGAACTTTAGTACTGGGCTGGCAAAAAGACAGTGCCATATCGCGCCCTCATTTATTTTTATTTTTTATTTTTTTTTTTTTGTGATGTGTCTGGTGTTCATTCTACAAAAACATACATATATCAGTGTGAAGGAAGGTATAAAATATAAACGAACCTTTATCTTGTTGCATGTGTCACTGCACATGACGGGTGCCTTTTGCAAGTGAGTATCAGAAAAATATCCCAAATGTCACTTTTATTCCATCTCTATTTTGTTGTAGGTTCTGGCTCTGGGTATTGGTACGACTCAAACGCCTTTTTATTCTCACTTGTAAACAAGCCAGGATTGGCACCCGTTAGGCTGCCTCAGACAGGGAAATATAGCTCCAGAAGGCAACATTCCATAGAAGATATTGCATCACACGGGCCTTCATTCGGAGGAGGACATGACATTCACATAACAGACTTCGCGTCATCCAAACGCAGTTCGTTTAGTAACCTTGGCTATACTTACAGCCCACCGAGCGGGTACAGTTACGGCAGCACCTTCGCCCAAACATTCCTGGCAGGAACATACGCGTTTACACCAGGGGAAATAGAAACGTTTTATGAAACAACGCAAGTTAAATAATTCTAATGAGCTACAACCGGCTTTTATGTTTAAGTAATAGGCTTGTTATCTTCTTATGCATTATGATAACTGTAACTAAATAATCTCTAAAATCGATTGTCCCAGTAGGCTTATAAGTAAAAAACTCTTTGCATCTGTATGAAAAAAGGCTAAGAAATGTTAGAGAACATAAATAACAATCTTTATACAGGGAGCTCACTTTACAAAGAGTGATATTCAGTGAGACCCTGTAAAACAATAGAAAAACAAATGATCCGTGTTAGATTAATGAATAGGTAATATAGTAATAATAGGTAAAAAGTTAAGAATCAAGAATCTAAATTATACAAGCTTCAGGTTAAAAATGTTAAAATTCAGATAGATTAAAATATTAAAAGCTATAAAATATCTAAAATATTTTGCTTTTAATGTTGTGTTTAAAAAGAACAAGAGAGTTAATTATTAAAAGATGCGTCTAAAATGTTCCATTCCTTAGCGCATTGATAAAAAAGTCTCTGCTTTCCGTAATTCCTTTTGACGAGAGGAAGACGGAAATCGTTCCTTCTCAGTCTAGTGTTATAACCATGGATGTCTGAGTTTCTCAAAATATTAAAATTGTGATCTACAAGTCCGTGGATGTACTTAAAAGTGGTAATGCATCTATGTACAAGGCGCTCTTGAAATAAGGTAGGCCATCCGAGTGTTTTGAGAGCGTCGGTAGATGAACCATCGTTGGGCAAATCAAGGATAACTTTGGCAGCCTTTGATTTTGCAAGACTTGTAAATCATGCATTAATGTAATATTATCTCTGTCTGCCCAGATGGTATCAGCAAAGTCGAAGAGAGGTCTTATTAAAACATTGTATAATGCGACTCGCGCATCCAAAGGCAATAGATGTGTGATAAGATCTAAAAAGCCAATTTTTTGATTTACTTTCGCAATCAATGATTCGATATGCTCATTCCAAGTCAGATTCTTATGAATGACAACATCTGAGACACTTGATTGAATCTTCACACTCAAGGTTTTCGTGATCAATAACAAGCTTAATGCCTTGGCAGGTTTGCAACCTTTTATCACCTCCAAACAACACAAACTTCGATAATACATGGTTACATTACATAGATCAGTTTGGTTGTTAGCAGTACGTGTTAAGCCCCGAGCAAACGGACGCAACATTGTTGGCCAACAACTACCAACATTGCCTTGGATGTTACATGTTGCGTCCGTTTGCACACCCTGTTGCATGTTGTTGGATGTTCTTGCGTGTTGTTGCGCAAAGTTTGAAACCGGTCAAACTTTTCAGCCAACAACTCCCAACATTGTTAGCGCAACAAAGTTGGGAGTTGTTGCGCCGGTTTGCACGCAGCCTTAGGCTCGAATACACTGAATACATAGTTTGAGCGAAATATGCAAGAACGTTATCGAGACATTTTGGAATGAGGTTTTTATGGTTAGAAATACTGTAAAAAATGGACAATCTTGATGTTCGGGTGTTATCTGTAGAAAACGAGTGGATATGTGCCTCCCGGGACTCCAAATTGGCTCCCCGTTCTAAAAAATATTTTCCCTAAAATTGATACCTCGTGCTAGAAATGGGCCAATTTTTTTATACCCCTTTCTATAATTCGCCCTAAAACTGATACCCCATTCTAGAAATGGGCCAATTTTTTATACTCCGTTCTAGAAAGTTTGTAAATTGAAATAGCCCTGGTTTTTAAAAGATATTTCTTTATTTGTTAGACTTATACATCAAATAAATGCTTCTTCATAATCATCCGGAGTACGTTTCCTGAGCGTGTGGATAAAATATGGTTAATTATGACGCAAAATCCGTCTCACCACGCACAGAACCACGCTCGTAAGCTAACGATTTTCCTTCTCCTCCCCCGTCCCTTTCTTTTGAGTCCGTCTCCATCTCCCTTGGGTACATTATGGACTCGTTCCAGACTTCCCCGCGCCTATTTATCCAAGATGGCGGAGTCAGCGCTCGTGGCTCGCGCCAAAATACGCCCGCCCTACACGCTAAAACACAGGGTGCCACAAGAGTACAACAGTTTGCTTGTTAATGCATTGAACCGTATTTTTAAAAGGAATCTGTCCTTGAATAATTTCAAATGGCTGCTTACAAAACTGGAGATTTCGTGCGTTCGAAATATTATACACCGCTCTAGAAAACGCCTTTGAAATAGATACCTCGTTCTAAACCAGGAGCTTCAAAATCACGACCCCGTTGGGCGGCACATACACTAATGTATGGGAGTAGTACCCCCCTTCCCCGTAGCTAGCAGTAGATAATCTAGCAGAACTCAATTAGACATTCAATTTTGGCCCATAGTTTTCTCATCACTTGCCGTTTTTTTAATTCAGATGCACCACAGTGCCGAGACTATACGGTTCTTACTGAACCTAATCGACAGCAGTCCTTTGGTTATGGTAGTAACTCAGACAACAGACTCGTCCCCGGCTGGTACCGCTTCCAGTCAATTTCATATTCAAGAATGGTAGACAATTGTATCCCCGTTCGCAAATGCAGCTCTGATCTGACTGGGTGGCTGAATGGCGAGCATCCCACCTTTGAAGATAGTATCGTGAGGAGGGAAGATTGTTTCGACGGATTATTAAACTGTTGTTACTGGACAGTTCAGATACGCATTAGAGAGTGTCAAGGTTACTACGTGTATGAGTTAAACCCGTCACCTACCGGAAGGTTCAGCCGCTATTGTGCAAGGGCGAGAACGTTATCGAGCGCTTTAAGCACAAAAAACTGTTTCATGAACTGATGTCAGATGTCATTGGAAATAAAACCAAAAAAGGGCGATGAGTTATTTTCTTGCCCAAGAGCTCAATTCAGTACGCCCGCATATGCGTTGAAATACTAACCCGGGGGCTGGTCCGCTCAGTCTGTCCCGATTTCAAACACTTGTAATGTAACAAAGTAAGGTGCGCTACTTGGGAACTCTAAGTCGCATGTATAAACAATACAAAAAAGACTCATTTAAGTCTAAAACACTGCTAACAAACAACATGCGCTAGTAAAAGACCGTGTCAAGCAGCTGTCATTGTAAATATAACAAAAATGAACAACGAGTTACTTAACCCGCATATGTGTTGTGTGGCACTCAGAGAGGGCTGGATAAGTCTGTCGCCCTTAACCTTAACTACACAAGATAAACCTAGTGACGTTCAACTAGAATCTTAATCAAAATAGTTGTATAACTGGCTCAGTACTAACACATCTACAATCTTGAAAAAAATGTTGAGAAAAATGGACGATACTGCGTCTAGTTTCAAGATAAAGCTTGAAAGAACTGGCAACTACAGCTACTCAATCCTCCCCCCCACAAAAAAACAATGTTGAAGCCCGGCTGGATCATTTCATTTCATCCCGAATAAACAAATTTGACCAGGGTGGGGCGAGGGGAGGGGCCATAGTGGTACCAAATCCGCGGGATAGGCGTTCTGTGGGTAAGAAAGTGCAAAATCTCAACACTTTTTGTCCAAGATTGTAACGTATGAAGTGCATATATTGCCGCTAAATAATTAGGTAATCCCAGTTTGCAAGGGAATGTTTCCACTATTCAATAAAGTATGTTTGCCAGCGAACATAATCTCCCATGGTCCAGTTCACGCAATATGCAAGATAAATCACTCTAATGAAAATGATATTGTTAAGATGCGTGAGGAAGAAAGTTAATTAGAGACAGACCAATAGGAAGGTCGCATGAATTTTTTTCGTTAGCATTTTCTTTGTATTAATTATCTTGGGCCAAAGCATGAATATTTTTTGGCGTTACTTGGAGTGCACTAATTTTATTCATTTAGTTTTCCCTCCCACCTCCCCCATTAAGGTTTTCATGGTCCGCACGTGGCCACTTGCCGTCCCTATTAAGACTTGTTTTGTTTTGTGTTTTGTTTTTTTTTTTTACGTCAACCTTAATGGCATGCTTTAGGATCAAATTTACTGGCACGTTTCCCACTCACCTCCACCTTCTGTGCATGGGACGATTGGCAAGCTGCAGAAATGAAATCCTCGAACTCCCCGGCAGAATCTCGTCGTCTCCTTGATTTTGTTCCGTCAATAAGGCCATCGTTTCTTTCTGTTGTATTAGTTTTCGTTTGCGGATGTCTCTGGGTGAAGAATGAAACAACAAACGAACGATTGATCGCGCTGGAATCTCACGTTAACCTTTTCCCTTTCGTTCAGAGTGACTCGACTGAAAATACTGACAGGATATCTCTTTCACCAACAAAAGGTACAGCAAGAGATCTTTATAAGAAGGTTCAGACACATGTATCCGAAAGGATCGGTTATACATCAGGTAAGATCTTCACTTCAGATGTTATTTAGATGCAGATACATGTTTAGAACGGAGTTTATCCTCTTTTGATTTAGGCATATAATCTTTCATGGTGTGAGTTAATGCCCTTACATACGGGATCATCTAAGCAGTATTACAACAGAGCAAGAGTGTTGCAAAAGGGTTTATACAGTGTTAGATGAGGTTAAAAATTCACTAAGCCACCTATACTGGCAAAACAATAAAAAAATTTGTATAGGTAATAGCATGATTTGTAGTGATATTTGGCATAAATACCACGAGTGATATTTCGAAATTGTTATACGTAATTTGAAATTTGAGACAATTTTGAAATATCACGAGTGGTATTTATGCCAAATATCACGTACAAATCGTGCTATTATTTGTTTATACCACTGCCCGCAAAAGGTTTGGAATTTTCACATGTAGGGTATTTCAAATTAAGCTGAAATACCACTGCTCTAGGCCAATCAAATTGCAGAAATTTCTCATGAAGTGGTATAAACGGTGTAAATGATCGATGTTGAGTAGTGTCGATCGACTTGCTCACGTACAAGATATGTGGTCAATACCCAGGGGGGGGAGGGTTACTCCTTTATATAAGCCGTATAACAGGAGCACACAAAGGGTGTATAGTTCTTGGCCCTTTTTGGTCTGAAAACGCGGGTATAAACGTGGGCCATTTTTGTCTGGAATAGGGTTTGGTTTTCGAGGAACCTACTGGAGCGTATGCATGAACGTAGTTATCGTTTTAGTTCCACATGAGTAAGAACGAAATAGCAATATGAGAATTCGAAATGCATTTGAGGAGTTTTTTTGTTTGCGCTCTAATCTAAGTCATGATGACACAATTCTGTCTAAAGGTCAGATCTGAAAACGGGTATGGACTGAGGTCTGCATGGTCTGAAAACAGGTGTGGAAAATTGGTCTCAAGTACTACTGTCTGAGTAAAATTGTTAGGGTGGCGTAAAATTTGAGATATTTTTTGAAAGGTTAGCCCCTAGAGGAGTTCTGTTAAGGGGTCTTAGGGCTTGCTGGGTTACTTGATAAAACCTTTGGTAACTTCGATAGGGTGGCAAGATTGAAAGTACGATTATTGAACGGTCTCAGTTGGTTTGAAACCCGGGGAGGGCACTTCCTCATAAGAGGCTAATGGGATGTGCCGCTGGATGGGGTCGCATTTACACGAATGGATTGATTATATTGGGGTCGCATTTTCAATTGAATTTCTAGAATGGGGTCGCGCATTTTTGGACTTTTCGTGGTAAGACATTTCTTCTTATTTACGGTTAGCAAACATACCAGAATGTTTGTACTGTAGGTGAAAAGTAAAGTGTTCTTCATACAGTTTAAAAAATGGGTCAATTCATAAAAATAAAAAGTGACTAAGTTGGGATCGCGAAACTTACACATTTGCCCCAAAGTGACTATAGGGTCTATAATTGGTCACAGACTAGACTATAATGGAGTAGGGGCTCTTAGACGCCAGCGGCGCATACCCAGCAAACATTTTACCCAAGTACCCTCCCCCCGGGGTTTTGTGTGCGTAGAATTAGAAATCTAGAATGTCTGCTTGGCTTTCCCTTAGAGGCGACAAGGGAAGAAGCGTGGGGGCAAATTAAAAAGTTGTTAACCTTGTTGTTAAAGGTTCAAAACGTTGTTAATTTTATGTTAGAAATGTCAGCCTTATCATTCATTCCGTTGATTTGTTCGATATATTTTCTCCCTTATTTATTTTTAATATTAATCTCTGGATATTAAAAAAATTATTAATCTTATTTTACTGCAGTCAGCCCGTTATCAATAGAGGCATCAGCAACCATCCGCTTAAGGAAGCGAAGAAACCTTTTGAACAACACTTCAACCGGCATCACCATACATGAAGTAAGAAAAGAAATCAGCAAACAGTTTGAACAACTTATGCCCACCAAGTACTGTAAGTCAAGTGAGAAAGTCTGTCCTGCAGGTTCTCCCGGATATCCTGGTCCCACTGGAGCGAGGGGACCACGTGGCAGGAGGGGGCCAAAGGGAAAGAGAGGTCCTCAAGGTCCCATGGGACCTCTTGGAAAATCAGGAAAAACAGGACTAACTGGTCCCGCAGGACCGAGAGGAGAAAGGGGAGATAAAGGAGAGACTGGGCCAAAAGGCATGCCGGGACCACGTGGAAGGCCTGGAAAATCGATATCTGCTCCAAAAGTGATGTTGACGCCAGCAGAGCAGACACGAGATGAGGGAGGAAATACGGCATTTTATTGCACGGTCGCCGGAAATCCTTCTCCAGTCGTGGAATGGCAATTTAAGGGCAGAAAGATTCTGTCGGGTGCAAAGTATTTGATTAAAGAAGGAGAGTTGATTGTCAGAAATCTAAATTACAGCGATGTTGGGCCGTACTCATGTGCTGCTAGGAACATTCTTGGATCGTCCGAGGCTACTGCTAACTTGTCTGTTCGAGGTGAGAGGAGCATTTCATTCTTGAGCTTTGTTGTATAACAGTCGGTCAAATTTTGTTTGTTATATCAGTATGATATGTTACATGTTCTTGCAAGGTATTAAGGCTGCGAGAATTGAACGACGCATAAACATCTCAAGAAAGCTATGCGATGTGAAGGCACACTGACAGAACATTATCCTCGCCTGACCTATTTTGACACGCTTTCAGAATCCGGTTAAGGCTTAAGTAGCCGTCAGACTACGACTTCTTGAAAAGACCCTTTAACAGATTTGCCAGCTAATAACTAATTGGTTTCATCGCTCCTTTTTTTTTCTGTTATGCAAACGAACATTTCTTGTACAAAGTTTCCCGGAAAAGAAAACACCTAATTTGTCAGATTTTTCTCAGTTGTAATCCTGCTGTTCCCCGGAGGGTACTTCTTCTGATTTTCTGTACAGGGAGGCTCCTTCCGAAGGGGGTACTATTTTGAGGCTTCAAGTACTGTATGAAAGGGTCGGTGTTTTACCAGTTGAAGTACATAATAGAGTAGGGAACTCAGTCATTTCGGTCTGCAAGAAGATCTAAAAGGGCTAGCGGAAAGATTTTATGGATGTGAAAATTTCGAGAAATTTTTCTACTTTTGTGATTTATTCATATTTTAAAGACAGTTCGTTGATCTCCCTTCATGCAAAGTTCTAAACTACGTATTTGAAAGGGGCACCTTTTCTGTTGAAAATTACATATGGTGTTGGACCACGGGGCGGAGCCTCCAAGTACAAAACTGTGTTGAGTACCCTACCCACCTCCTCTCCTTCCCGATGTCGTCCAAGTAGATTTAGTATGTAAACCTGATAATTATTTTTTCAGGTCTTCCAATATTCACAAAAGTTCCACCTTTACTTGCTGCACCGGTACAAGGCACTACATTCCAAGTAACGTGTAAAGCTGAAGGCTATCCTCGTCCCGTCGTAACCTGGACAAGAGTAGGAATGCCTTTACCTGCTGGAAAAACGAAAGTTAACCAAGGCACACTTACCATTAACAACTTGATTCCTGCCGACAACGGTTTATACGACTGTGTAGCTACTAACATCATTGGAACAAAGAAAGCTAGAGTCAACGTGGCAGTGCAGCGTAGCTCAGCTGCAGGTTTGTCTTAGGCTGTAAGGTCCGCACAGACATAAATTAAACATTTAGTAACATAAACATCAGGCCCCAGTTGTTGAAATGTTGGATAGCGCTATCCATCGGATAAATCTCTATCCAGTGGATAAGTATTAGGGAAACCAATTGCACTATCCACTGGATAGAGATTTATCCGCTGGATAGCGCTATCCACGTTTTGCCTAAGCTGACGCCTGGTGACCTTTGTTAAAGGTCACAGAGATCGCAAGACCAAGGGTTCCTGAATCCTGTTTAAGACTACTTTAATAGGCTTAGCTGACTCAGACTACAGTGTATACTTAAGTGGAATGTAAAACATATAGGACCGCCGTTGGTGATGGCCTTTTATTTATTGTTAAAAAGCAGTGTCGTTGTTAAAGGCTGAATATGCTTGTGTTGCAATTGTTTAAAGGGAAAGAAGGAAGGAAGCCTATACTCGAGTTTAGGTTTAAATCCTAAAAATTTGCTCTCCAGAAAATAAAGTGACTTTTGCTATCTAGCCTCTAGTCACTCGCAATGTTACACTTGATAAAGGATTCATTTGACGCCGAATTTTTAAACAGTTATACTTGGCTCCAACATAGTTCTTTTGTCAAATAGCAAAAGTCGAATTTTTTTTTCCCCAGGTTTGCACGACTCTGTTATTGTGGGAAACAACAAAAATCACTTAACCTCGTTAAACAACTGGCTTGTACCTGTCACAAAAAGCGTCAATTCTCTCTGGAAGCGCTGTTGGCGTGCATCCTTGGACGGCTGGGGTGGAAGTACATTTCACTCCCGATGTGACGGCAAGGGCCCGACTGTGACAATAGTAAGGGTGGGGAGATATATTTTTGGTGGATACACCAGTCTATCATGGGGTAAGTGAGCATTGTAAAGAGACAAGATTTGGTAACCCCTGTGCCGTTACTAGGATTGATTGATATATGCACTGAAGCCAAGGCACCCTCGTCAGTTAACCTTGTCCGTCATTCCTGGTTCCGGTGGGTGCACTCAACATATTTTAGACGGGGAGTTTCCACCCCAAGGTTCAACCCCTTAATAAAATAAATTAAACCCCTTAATTAAACCCCTTTAATTAAATTTTTATCACCTTTTTGTACATCATTTCTGGAAGAGAAGGTACTCCTGTCGTGCACAGTTGAATACTTAATAAGGACACCAGTACATAACAGACAGTTTCTTTTGTCCTGACGGAAGGCTTACATATATTCCCTAAAATTAACCCGCTTAATACGGATACTGTTTTATACGGACAACGGACGGAATTATAACCAAAGAGGGCGTTAGGGACTTCTACACAAATCCCTAATCACAAAATAACAAAAAAACCGACATAAGCAAACAACAAAGTAAACAAGCTAAGATAGGGGAAGTTGAGGGAAATAACAAAATGTTTGCTAACCTGGTTTTCATAAATCCAGGTAGATATGCAGTCGAAGCTCTCCTTGCGACCACTCTCGAAAGCGACTGGCTCTGGTTACGAGAGCAGTTTACGAAAACCTATATGAAACCCCGTTTGAACTGTGACTTAAACTTTGTAATAAAAAGCTCCCGTATGTAGGCGACCACGCGACCACTTTTAGGATTACCCAACTGGACCTCTCCTTTATTTTTAAGCTATCGTAAGCGGCCACTAAGAGACTTATTCATAAACAGTATATCAACACTTTAGTGAAACTGCACACTGCGCTAATGGTTCATTGATACACAGCAGTATTATTGTATTGATAAAAGTTGAAGGTCATTTCCGTAGCGACCACCAGTTAAACGTTAAGTTCAGCCGTGTCTATATCAGATATAAATATACAGATTTAGGCAGGGCTAAAAGCGAAGCTCTGGGTAATAATACGTGTAAACCAAAAAAAATTAAATCGTGTAATGCTAAACGGGGACCACAATGAAAATGGCTTCAAGACTAATAGATCTAATTAGCAAAAAAACAAATTGCAAGTGCAGCACACTTTTTCTTCTAATTAGCAAAAAACAAATTTGCACGTGTAGCACGCTTTTTTGTCTTTCCCTTGCCGTTGTTTTGCACGACTACAACGCTGTTTTGCACGACCAAAACGTCAAACTTCCTGGTTACACAGTATTTTTTTTGGAGGAATTGTCGTATTTGCTTACCAATATTTTGTTTCCTGTGTTCATGTTCGGTTTTATTTTTCACTGCCGCTCATTTTCACCTTGCTGGCCGCTAGCATTTCTCATTTTCTCACCGCCGCTTTGAATTTCCATGTTTTTCTTCCTACGAAATTAGTCTCCTTTGTTTTCAATAACTCGCTCTAGCTCTTTCTCTGTTATCCACGTTAGTGTAAACATTAAAAATAACGCCGACAAAGACACGACATTGTTGTTGTTTTTGCTTTCTAAAAGTCTGAGCGGCCATGTGATTTCCGTCCAAATAATTTCGAATTTGCATTTGGGTCGCCATACCTGTTGACTGAGTTATTTTACGTTGGTATGCCTGTGGTGCGGACGGACGGTCAGTAGATTACCACCAGGGGCCCGTTTCTCGAAAGTCCCGGTAACTTTACGGACCCGAAATCAAATATTCAAATCGAAATATAAAGAATATGAGCGCGGGTCCTGGCTAGCAAACTACTCCATTTTGTTTCATTAACTGACAGTTTTATCGTGTTAGATGCAAAACTATTGAAACCTCGATCTTCAATGTAAACGGAGACAACTTACCGGGCCCGTTAATTATCGGGACTTTCGAGAAACGGGCCCCAGGGCGGATAAAGGTTGGGCGTTGAAACGAGCGCGTCCGAGCAAAAAGGTGTGATGCAGTGGACTGGGACTCTGCTTAGAAATGTCGCTTGTTTTCGACTTCGGTCAGGGCTTGCGATATGATGTGGTTTGTACATTAGAAACGCCTCTGTCACTGAATTATGGCGGCTTGAATTGTTTTTTGCACTTCTTCCTCGTTCCTTTGTGCTGGTACGCTGTCTCCGAGAAGCAAATGTTGCCATTTTTTACGGGAGGTTTAGTTGGAGTAGACAAACATCTCTTTCAAAGGGTTTCTTTCATTACTTCCATGACTCTACCACTGAAATATATTTTCGTTCTGCTACTCGCCAATGTCGATGTTATTCCAAAACGAAAACAACTCAGTATGTCGTCCATGGCAAAACTAAAAGACAGCAGATCGTGTTTCATAACTAGATGACGTGTATTTTATAAATGCGTGCAGCTCGTGCAAGGTGAAATTATGCTAATTTCAATCACCATCATCCTTCTTCTTAATTTTGAAAAAAAACATCTCAGACGTCTTTCTGTTTCTTCGAAACTTCCAAATTAGTTTCCCCTCAGTTTTTTCTGTTTACCTTGTTTTGTTTTAGAGAGAAAAACGGAGAAAAAACCTTACAACAAACCTTAATAAATTTTGTTTACATGCGGTTGCCGGATTTGCAACGCATTACGCGAATCGTCATGGCGCGTTGCACCCGAGAAGCAAAGTTTGAAGAAGTACAACGCCACTATATCAATATATACTAGGGTATCTAAAAGATAGTAATGCTGCGGCACATTCTGTTGATACTGGCATTAGTTAGGCAGTGAGACTTAAAAGAATCGAAAATGATATTGAATGTCCTATTTACATGTTGGAAAGTACTAGAATAATTACTATCAGTCTATAGAAAGAACTCATGGGTACGTTGTTTAGAAAATGATCAAGTGGTTACTCTGGTTTTCCCACAGTAAATTGTAGGAAATAATAGAAATTTAGATTGTTTATCCATATATTTAATATACGGTGCACGATATTTTCTCTGGAAACACAATACTTTTCACGCTGTTTTTTGCACTTTATTAAGTAACAGTTATTTAGCTATATATTTATAGAAAACAACAACACAAAAAACGGAAAAAAAAAAAGAAAGAAGGCATATAGAATTCGGTAGGACTCGAACCCTGCACCTTTGGCTCGACGCGACTACACCTAACCACTACACACAGAGGCTGATTACGTAATCTGTAAGAAAAGTCTTGATTTATTCCTTTTCCACGAAACTTCCGCCGGCAAGATGACCGCCAGCCGCATTAACCGAGCTATTAACAGTGAAAAAACAATGTAAAAGCATATTCTGTGGCAATGAATGAATGAAAGAACATAATTATGCTTTTCAAAACGCCGATACACGTCCTCGTCTGCAAAGTAGGACACAAAACATATGTTTTGTTATCTCGATTTCCGCTGTTATTTTGAAGCGAATGGTCACAATCACATCCATTTCGGCTCATACAGTTTCTTAAGAATAGCACTGCATGACATTTTCTCACTTTCACATCACCTTCTAGCAAGCTGAAATTTGTATATCCCCCGTGTTGCGGAGTCGAAGAGCAAATGCTCATCTTCTAGTTAACACCTGGACGAGTCAAAGGCTCTTGAATTGAAATCCAATCCCCAAGTTAACCATCGTACTCATCTGAAAGACTCCTGCGTGTCTTAAAATTTGGTAAGACCTCTAACCGTGCTGTAGAAAATTTGCCACAAAGAAAACTCTACGTCTGAGCAGCGAACGATGCACTCTCTCACCCACCGAACTTCCTGGTGTTTTTATTTGCGTTGTTCGTGGCGCAATGCACTCTGGTTAAATGCAATTCATTGTGGTTAAAAGTGTGGTTAAATGCAATGCATTGTGGTAAAAAGTGATGAATTCGAGAATTCGTTGTCCCTTATGTATTTCCTTTAAATCCTGATTATGTTGCTGCTCGCTCCCTTCGGTCGCTCCGCGGCAATCAATCTAATTTTTTGTTATGTTATATAAAATTTATCCTCCTTTAACATATGTAAAAATTGAGGTTAAGAAGTGTTAAGCTTTTGCAAACGAAACGGCGAAAGACGATTAGGTGATATTTAGTGCAAGGAGGAGGTATTCAACACTTTCAAATTAAACTCAAATTTGGGAATTATACGACCAACAAGTTTGACTTATAGACGTACAGACACAAACATATGAAACTGTTTATTGATATTGTTATGAAACGAATTTATCTTTTTAACACTGTAGCCTGAAATTACAGAAAGAAAATAGGATTTCCGGTTTGCAAAAAGGAAAATTTCGCCGGCCTTGAAGTGCACCGGAAGCGCGGAAAGAGCGCTCGCGAAAGTCCTACTCCGCATCACACATTAAATGAAGAGCGGAGCGCTCGTTTCACCGCCCAACCTTTATCCTCCCTGATTACCACATTTCCTTAGCTATGGGGCTCCGGCGCGGAGCTCCGCCATAAAGACACTGATTACAAACATAAACTTCTTTTGTTTTCCCTTTATGAGTTGTTGATGAGTTTTTGAAGGTCTCGTAGTAAGCGACCAGCTCTAGTGACGACCACTTTAAAAGTGAAATTTCCGAGGTGGTCGCATACGAGAGCTTCGATTGCAATGCGAAATTAATAAACCTAAGTAAAATTAAAATTTAAAAGAGACATAAATAGAGTATCACAACAAATTACTAATGGCCTTCTACTACCAAGGTATCCGGTCCTCACTGTAATGTATTGTGTAAAACTTTTATATAATGCATCGATTATTACCTTCAGTTACTATAGACTCCACATTAGATGGAAATGTTTTTCATTACATTTGTTACGTATTTGCTATTTTGATTTGTTTTAACCATTGAATGGGATGATATATGTGGAGGAAAGAACTCAGAAAATCTCATTTCCAGATGGGAATTGTTTTGATGTATCTGGAACTGATACATGCGAACAAGAAGGAGGAGGAGGGTACAAAATGTTCACGAACCTTTATCTTGTGTACAGGTGTCACTGCACCTGACGACTGAGTGCCTTTCGCAAGTAAGTATCGGAACAATGTCCCTTAATTATGACGCTTTTATTCCATCCATACTTTCTTGTAGGTTCTGGCTCTGGGTATCGGTACGACTCAAACGCCTTTTTATTCTCACTTGTAAACAAGCCAGGATGGGCACCAGTCAAGCTGCCTCAGACGGGGACAGATAGCTCTAACAGGCGTTATTCTATATACGATAATCGATCACGTGGGCCAACATTCGGAGGAGGACATGACATTTACATTTCCAACTACGCGTCATCCAATAGAAATTCTTACAGCAACCTTGGCTACACCTACAGCAGCACCTTCGCAGGAACATTCCTGGCAGGATCGAAAAATTTCACACCAGACGAAGTAGAAACTTTTTACGAAACAACCTAAATAATGTAACAAACCACATTCGTCTTTTATGTTTTTGTTTTTATGTTTTGTTGTCTTGCATTATGTGACTTACTAAAGAACTAAATAATCTCTAAAATCGATTGTCCCAAAAAGTTTCTCAGTAAAACTCTTCGCGCCTGTATGAAAAGAGGCTAGGAAATGTTAGAGAACATAATACATGGTTGTAAAATATATATAGCAGTTTGGTTATTAAGTATGTGTTAGGATCGAATACAAGCCGCTGTTCTGGAATTGAGCCCACTCTCCTCCCCCCTAACAGGGGAGGTCCGGGAGAAGGGCGGATGTCGAGCTTAGGGATATGTACGCATTAGAATGCAAAACAATTGCTCGCTGGAACTGTAAGGCTCGAGCGAATATCCCACGCAAGCGCCTCAGCCCTTTTTCCCCACTTCGTTTCGTAAAAAGATTTCTCAGAGACTTTTTTGGATTCTGATTAACGCTTAATTTATGGGTTATTTGTAGTACTTAAACTTGTACTCAAGAGTTAATTATCTATTCCATCTTTATTCCATCGTTTCGCCCAGAAATTACATCAGATCAAGCAATTAGTAACGTTCAGGAATCCTTTAATTAAGTTGCCTGTCAAACTTCTTTTCCTTGACGGCTCGCATGAGTTTTGTCACGTGAGACGTACGTCTATATTGCAAATAAAATGAGATACTTCAGCGTTTTTAATGTAAAACGGTCACCGGATCAATGAATTAATGATACTGTTTTTTGAAACCCTTATTTAGTCTATTTAATTGCAATTTTTGTGTGATTTTAAAATAGATGTAGTATTTGAACTGTTCAGTAATGCACGCTTCATCATCTTGGGGTACTTATAGACGGGAACCAAAAATCTCTGTTTTTTAAGTTGTTTTTCTACCAGAATTTGACGATATACAATCATTATGGAATGCCGCTGGTAAGGTTAAAATGATGCAACAGAAATAGCCAGTGTGAAAATCTGCAACCTTAGAAGTGTTTGATTAGAATCGAGGGACTTTCATCTTGTTTCAGTTTGCATGGTTAATAGAAAGTTGTTCATTTTTCAAAATGAAGTTAAAATAATGACCCTTTGGTGTTCCATGTTTCTTAGACGCAAGCAAAATGGACTATCAATACGATCCTAAGGCCTTTTTATTTTCAGTTGTGAACAAACCAGGCTGGGAACTAGTTAAACTGTCTTCTAATTAATAAAATTGTTTAATATTCAATTCGGACTTGATTACTGCCTGCCTGGTTTTACAAGGAAGACAATTGAAACCGTATTACTTTTAAGGACCCCACTACTTAGCCGACTGTTCAGTAATAACATGTTTTTATCGACTATGCAAATAGCTTTCCACTTAGTTCTCTTGTAGCATAATATGGGGGAGGGGGGAAGCGAGTGTGTCTCACAATTGATTAAAATTCAAACAGTAAGAACTGCTGCCATATTGAGTGAAACACAAAAAACCGCTCAAACCGATGATAAAAAAGGTATAAATAGCACAGCTATTGAAAAACTCAGTCACTATTGAAACGGAGTGCAATTTTTGTTTTGGTATTTGTTTATTTATTGGTTTTAGTTTTCTTTCTTTTTTCTTTTTGGTTAGAACAAAAAAAGGTGAAAAGACTGGCGCCTCTTCCTAGATATTCTCACGTTTTCAGGCTCTTGGTTGGAATCTTGCAGTTAGACACAGTTGTGCACCTTGCATTTAGGATTTAACAATCATTAACAGCCAAGTAATAAACCGAGGCACCTGAATAAGCAAGAAGAGAACACAAAAGTCTCTAATTACTTTTCACTTGCAAGATAAAGATAGCCTACTCATGCAGCATAAATTGAAAGGAGGTGAGCAAGTAAAAATATTTAAAATACTTTAAAGGAAAAAAGAATATAATCTCAAAATCACTGCAGCTGTATCGAGAAGAATTTGCACATTTAGATCGATACATTCTTTTTACGTTTTCAACAATTAAATAGGTCATTAATAATAACACATTTACTAAACGCTAAGCGGCTGTTTTAAATATTTAGTAATTATCTTACTGGCCATGCAAGAAAATTTTTTTCAATTATTAGTTGTTTTCTTTTTTTCTAGGACAACAAGTAGTAACTTATGTCCACAAATTATATTCATGGATTGGATTTTTACGAAGTTTTATTTTCATCGAACAAATATAGATCTCCGTGGTTGCACAGACTTCCTTGCCAAAGCTTGGATAAACAGGTATTAATAATTTTAGAACAAATAATCATTATGAAGGGCCCATATTCTAATTCAAGCACGTTTTTTTCTGTATTTTGGAATCCTAATTACTTAAAAACTTCTCGTTGCTGGAGGCTGTTTTAGTTTTTTGGATGTTTCATTGATAGATATTGAATAGTTCATATCGTAAGGTTTTAGCAAAATGAAGAACCGTTAAGAAGATAATGGTATTACAGTGTACTTAAGGCGAAAAAATACTTTGAAAATTCTGAATTTTCTGCCGCATCAGAAATTTCTTAAGAACTACTGTAAACTGACCAAAGTTCCATCTTCAAACTCACCTTGTGTTGGCCGTCTTACGGAGAGCAGGCCCGGATCAGAGACTGCAATTAACTAACGTCTCTCTCGTTTTACAGGAGAGCTTTAAGGGTTTACGTTATTGCCCTCTACTAAAGTTTTAGAAATGTGTACCATTGCTTAAAGAGGTCCTTAAAATACGGCATCTGAGCAGCAAATTTTTTGTGAACTAAATTTTCCAACATTTATGATCGATGTTAAAAGGATTTAAGCACTGAGTGGCGAAATTTATTAAAAATCAAATATTAAGAACTAGGCAAAATTAAAATTGCACTAAACGGGAAAATAACTACCCAAACGTTGAAAGAAGGAGTGAATAAAATAGCAAATACAAAAGGAGGAGATTTCCAACTTTGGTTTTTGAAACTTAATAGCCTATTAACTGCTTTTAAAGATTAGGCTCATTTTTGTTGTTTGTAGTTGCTTGATATTATGCTTTTGGAAGGATTATATTTGTTTAGACACGAAGTTGTTATATTAGTTCCACAGGGAATATTAGAACGCTTAACTCAGGTTTAGAGAGGCAATGAATTTTAATTGTATAAGAAATAAAGAAATAAAATAATAGTGGGATAAGATTGACAGGAAAATTTTTCTTTCAAAGAACTTTAATCGATAAAACTTGGTTTTAAATTCAAAGTCGAACTCGAGCTAATATTATATATTTGTAATGCATAAACAAGAAATGATTTGCAAGTATATTAGGTAAAAGTAGGTTGAGTTTGATCTTCCTGGTGAACGCAGTCCTGAATAGGACTGTTGTTGTTGACAGTGACTCATACTCACCGTCAACAACAACAGTCCTATTCAGGACTACGTTCACTCGGACGATCAAACTCAACCTACTTTTGCAGTGACTCCTGGATTCAAACCTTTTACAGTATATTAGGTAAGTTGAAAAACATGGTCAGTGTGAAGGATTCAGTAATCCCTAATGCGCCGACTTTTCAGTTAATTTGCTAATAAGTCTACATGTGCGTGCTGTAGTGTCAGATGCATGATTTTGGTATTTGGGTCAAAAAGCATTATTTTTTTCTCAAACCTTTTTTTTTTTAATGTAAGGATCTTTGTTCTGGAGCTTATTTTCTTCTTATCCAAGACTCGGCTCCTACTTCTTTTCAACTTAAGATAAAAGAAGCCCTTAAAGTTGAAGGGAACCACTTGCCCTAAAAAAGAATTTTAAAAAAGCTAATTTGACACTCGTTTTTTTAATTATTTTTTGTCTGTTTTGTATCTATATTACGTTATTAGGATTCGCATTTGAGAATGCACTGCATAGATAAGTATCATGTAATATCACTGAGTCAATAAGTTATTAACCCACAACAAACAATTTCACTTTCTTTGTCAACAAATTCTTTAAATGGTCATACGTGATGTAATTTATTCATTTATTATACCTTGCAGTGAATATAAGTATTGAAAAAACTTAAACTACTTAATCAGTCGGTCAAGATAAGAAGAGTTTCTTCTTCTTTAGTGATATGAGGATGACTTGTACGAGAAAGTTAGTTTTCTTTGCCTTCGTGCTGCATGTTACCATGATTTCCACCATGGGAGCTAAACTGAGCCAAAACGACAGAGGTACTGACGATCGACTTGTAATCATATGATCATTATATACCAAAATTAAAGGAACCAAGCTTTGTTAGTGCTATTGTTCGCATTTGATTCGCATTAAGAAACGTGGATTGGACAGATTGGTAATTCCATCTTGCTTAGAAGAAATTGCCGTTCCTCTTGGTTTACTCTTTTGAAAATAAACCACAACAACATAAAATGCTCCAACCTGCGTTTACTGAGTTTAGAGAGGCATGAGTCACAAAACGAATTTGAAATCTTTTATTTCCTCAATTTTAATTTACACCATGCTGAACGAATCTTCTGATATAGGTATAAACCAAGGCAACGCAAACTCTGAGGACAAAAAAAGGGATGCTTTGACATCGAGGAACCAGGTAAAGTATTAATAAACGTTGCTTGCGAAGCAAACAAATCATCATCATCATCGCAGTCAGTTGGTTCGACTAACTCTGTTCTAGAGTTCAGCAAGTACAGTTTGATAAGTCTCCTCCAGGTAGGTTTGTCCTTGAATGGATATGAAATAAACACAGTGAACAAAATGAATGTTAGAAAGATTGGAGGGATGGATGCGAAGATGTATGGATAAATCAACCAAAACAGGCATGATTAGCACCTCTAATGTATGACATTGTGAATACAATAAACTGACATGCATAGCTAGCTTTAATACTTTTTATCATTCATTTGCGGCATCTTACATTTAGAAACGTGTTTCACCAGCCGTTGCTGAAGTTGGGAAGGAAATCGCCGTTGAAGTGGGAAAAGAAGCTCTCAAGGAATCGTTAAACATTATGAATGAACAAGGAGAGAAAGCGGAGAAGTTTGTCAACAAGAAAGTAAGTTTTTTGTTTGTAATTCAGTCACAACTTTGGCCCCTGCACTCGGAGCTTATATCGACATGATTTCAAAGTTGGTTTTTGATAATTAATCAAGAGTCGACAACATTTAGTAAAAAGTCAGACTGTGTATTGTTTAGTACTATCTGTACTAATTAAAATTACAGGAGAAGGCGAACTTAAACTTTGAGATTCTTTAATAATCCTTGCTCTTTAGAGAAGCTATATAGAAAACTCGATATTAACGAAGTGTATATTAAGTAGCTGTCTAGCCGTTTGAGCGTCGACGCCTGGTCCGCCGTGATATTGGTGTCTCAAAACAATTAAACAGTGGCCATGTTGGTGTCACAAACCAATCCTGTGGGAGTTGAACTCTTCTCTTACACAAGAGACTTTCAGAGCATCGGTTAGAGCATCGCACCGGTATCGCGAGGTCACGGGTTCAGACCTTTTCAGGCTTCTTACGAAATTGCATAAATTGCGTTCATAACTGCGAGGATCATTCTTTATTTGAAACTTTATTTAGTTCCAATTGATTTACATGAGCTGCTGAGTGAAAAGGCTCTATATTCAAAACCAAATAGAATTACATAAAATCGTTTTCAATCTTATGATTTCACGGCGGTCATCAGGCATATTCATGTACGAAAACAATGAAACGGTGGCCATATATTGGAGTGCCACTGAGAAATATCCCTCGGAGAGTGAACTCTTTTCTCATGTAAACGAATACTCTTCAGCTCGTTTCACTTTCTCTTTCTGTTGTTTTTAGCTGGAAATAAACATCGACCCACAGAAAGGTTGGGAAACAGAAAATTTGTTTGTTCCTCCTGGTTTCCACATTGACAGTAAAATTGAAGGAGAAGGTGAAAAACCAAAAGGAGAGACTGGAGAACAGCCTTTCATCTATCCCATGGGAGTAGGTGGACTAATAATGAATGGATGTTTCGCCACAAACTATCAGAAAGGAGATCCTTGTTATGAAGCCAAGTGGAAGACCACAATTTGCCTGGTAAACGAAATTTTTTAGTATTTAATTTATAGTTTTTGACTTTTACACAACATCACTTTGGATATTCCAAGGCGACCGCGGTGAAAGAATTTAAAGAACTTAATCTATTATGTCTCTATTTTTAAAGCTTACAACGAGACTATTTGACTTTTAAATTAAGTGCCCATGCCCTAAAAAGTTTTATTTCTTTAACTGAAAATACACTTTGTTACGAGAGGTTCTACAAAAAATGTTAAATTTGTACATAACATTATTTTTTTAGAATGTCCTTTAACTGTTTGAATTTGCCGGCATTTTGGCATATTTATAGTCGTCTTAGTCTTTTCGCGGAAAACCCTCAGAAACAAGGGCAGTTGTGACGTAGATGAAGGAAATTATGCCGTAAATTGAGGAACACCTGACTTTGGTTGCAAGTAAACAGGTGTGGGGTTCTAGAAATATTGCTTCTATTTCACAAATTTTAACAGCTGTAAAAAGGTACAACAAGCAAGTAAGATACGCTGCGGTTAGATTCTGAACAACACTGGCGACTATAAGAAAGGGACAAGCACGCATAAAATCCTGTTCCTTTTAGTTCCTTTATGTCTCAAGAATTCCCATATAAGACTGTCAATTTCATGATCAGCATAACGGGTGTGCCAAAGAAAAATTTCTAAAAAACATTTCGTTTCGTTCAAGACTCATAACTTTTTCGAAAAAGTTCTTGTAGTAATGTGTTCTCTCAGAATGAAAATCAGGTCATACGCATTATAAGCATCACTCATGCTTATAATTTGTTCAGCGGAAGCAATAACAAATTACCTAAAACATCTTTTTTTAATATTGATCCCCTTGATCGAGATCGCCTTGTTAATCGGATTCCCACTACCGATCCCTACCACTCGACCGCTGATAAGAGGACACTGTAAATCCACGTCAAAAAATTCTAAGGGAAAACAATTTCAAAAATAACGCCAAAAAAAAAATTATTCAGTCTGTAATCACAATAAGAACGATTCTCAATACAAAACTGCCATAACTATCAAACGATTGCTGAGATTTAAACGTGAAAAAGTTGGGCGTACTTTTGTCAAGTTGTTTTCTACCAGAAGCTCGCGCATGCGCCTGGGCTGAAATAGCCCGTTTAATTATTTTCTGTTTTGTTAGAATCAAATTGATGGTGCCAATTTCATTGGTGTTGGGTTTGATGCTCGCGGCGACAGCAGTCCAGAGTCAAGAAAAATGAGCGTTATACAAAGAGACTGCTCGGGAAGAGCAACGTAAGTTTAAGCTAGTGATACGTACACGTGTTTTTAACAGAAGCAGATAGATTCATTTTACGGTGACCTTTTGAACATTTTCGTGTCCGTTGTTTTCGTAATTCAGTGGAATTTTAAAATCATGAATTGCGCGCGCAACCTACAGAACAGTCAGTTATCTGTTAAAAGACACCAATTGTAACTTATCCGTGGGCGATTAGTTCCAAAGGAAATTTAGGCACATTTTTAGCCGAGGATAGGTAGATCTTGAATACAATGTAAAAATAATATAACTATAATTATCTGCTATTCGATATATGCACTGTTCAGGTACGATGATTTTGATGTCCCTGATACCATGAACGTCCACGGAGTATACGACACAAGCGCCACGATGCATACTTTCTACAGCCGTAGTGAATACCAATCATTTGTTCAAGAACAGTCAGGAATGTCCGGCTCTGCATTTGGTTTTCGTGCTGGCGTGAAGAAGGCTTGGGGAAGTTCCTCTCTCAAAGGATCACAACAATACATGGCTCTTTTTTCAATTGACATCGACAGGTACAGAAGAGTCCCAAAGTCCTTTAGTTTGTTCCTTAACAGGAAAAGCGTAATAAATTAGCGCTCAAACTTTCAGATTTTGATCTTCGTGTTTCACTCACCCAAAGCCTCTACCGTCTCTTCACGCAAGGTCCCGTTTATAAGCTCTAACTGCTTAAAACAGGGCTCGCGCATGCTCTGATTATCTCGCCTCGAATTGACCCGTCTGGGGTATCCGAAGTGTTTATAATCATAGAGAAAAGTTGACCCAGCTAGGACTTCGGTGACCCTTCCATCAAGAATTGGTGACTAGGCTAGGCGGGCCATCCTTCATACAGCCGACTTTTTGTTTCTCAAGCAAACGGTTTGCCAAGTTCTTGAGGAATTGTGGGAAACGTTGCCACACCTAGGGTATAGCTCGAGAAGGCGAGTGACTCTTCCACCTGGGACAAGTTTTCCCTGTCACTGTCTTTTTTTTTCTTACATCGTAAGGCCATAGATGATTTGAAATGCCTAATAGTAAAGAAATTCCAGTCAATTCTTAGCACTCGCGTTCCATTAAATAAATAAGACGTCCAATACCAATACACTAAGCGAAAACTTACTTTGTTAAGTGCACCTTTTAACATCGTTATATACGATCTCAGTGTCCAAACCTAAATCGAAACTAAATTTACTGTTGTTTATTTTATAGGTATGAAATATTTTTGGATGTTGTCAAACCAAGTGATCTCAGTGTAGGTTTCCTTAAAGAGTTTATGGATCTTCCAACTTCCTATCTTGCTCCTGGTGCCGCTATCAAGTTCCGTAAGTTTTGGCTTTCTCCAATCTCTATCTTTAATCTTTAATCACAGTTCGTAACCAAACATAACTGATACAAATGAACTAATACTTACATATACAATCCAACAAAAATACAAAAATGGTTAACAGGACGGTAGTAGGGGGAAACCAAATTCCCATGCTAAGACATACCCTCCAAAAAAGAAAGTTCTATATTTAACTCTATATTTAACTCTGCTTAGACCGACGAAAGTACGCTGGGGTCAAGAATGTAGGAAAGAATAGGGAGCGTTTAATACCGGGGCTGATTTTGAAGGATCGTTAAAAACGCCGGACAAAAAAAATTCCACTTCATGACCCCATTTGCAAGGTTAGCTCAATCTATCCAACAAATAACTAACTAAAGACCCTTAGAGTATTTGCTTGCCGCCACTTTCTGTCCACTCCGTTGAATTACGCGGAGAAAGCTGTAGAAAATGATAACACATCCTGACTTCGTAAAAGCACGCGGGCTCCGACCCACAGCCATCAAATTAAAACCCTTGAAATAAAACGTTTGTCTTATTGCATCTCCAGAGGATTTCATCCTAAGATGGGGAACGCACTACACAAAATCTGGAAAATTTGGTGGTAGACTGCAGATTTTCAAGACAATGGAAGCAAACCAGGTATCAAGCAAAGCAGAGTTCAGCCAAGTCATTGAGATGTCATTCAGATCTCTATTCTCGAGTTTAAATTACAAAAAGGAAAAGAAAGGAGGGGAAAGTCTTAAGAAACAAAATAAAGAGTCGTCCACATCCGTAAGTGTGGAAGGAGGAGACCAAAAAATCGCTTCCGTCATCACTGATTTCAATTCACCAACCATAAAGAATGACATCAATCAATGGTTGGAATCAATCCGCACCTTTCCAAAGCCTTTTGGATTTATACTTGCGCCGATTACTGAACTGCTCAAGTTTAATCCTTCGTCCTTGTTTACTGACGAAGAAAGAGACTGGGGGTGTGAATCTCATGCCCTTGACATGAAGGAAGATCCCGAGACAAAAGAGAAGTACTACGAAGCTAAAATCAACGGAACTGTAACAAAGAAATTTTGTCCATATAAGGACCGTGATTATTTGTATTATTTGGTGGAGAGAAGGCGGAACAGCCTTGAAAGAGCTATTGCAGTCTACATGGAAGAGGTAACCATCACTGATTCTTTTATCTAAATATTACAACTTTTAAAAACATTTCTAGCATAGAAACTGACATTAGCTTTAATAACTCCGGAATAAATTACAGAAAAAAAAAGAAAGAAAGATTTCGCTACGCGTAGCTAAATCTTTCTTTCTTTCTTTTTTTTTTTTGGCATTAAAAATTTAAAATAAAGGTGCTTTAATCCTAAATCTAAAATCAAGAATTCACTCTTCTAGTACGTGTTCTATGTATGGTCTGGTATTCTTTTTTATTCTTTTTTCTAGGGTCCTATTTCTGCATCTGATATTAATCTACCCGCAGGACAACCCGGATGTCAGACTGAAAACTATCAATTTCAAGAAAAAATCGAAAAGCCAACGTTTGATGCGATGACTAAGCAACATGCTCAGTTTTTGGTAGTTTTTAACTTGAAGGAGGAAATTTACGACAAAAATGACGAAGAGATATCTCACAACATGGAAAAATACGTGAGATTCTATAGAGGTGAATGGTTTGTTAGTGATAGTCGTGACGAAATTAAGATGGCTACGGGCTGTAGTCTCGGAGGTGGACAAAACAACAAGATTTGTATACTTGGATTGCTTCTAGAGTATAACCAACAAACTGGATTTCTCACGTTAAGTAAACAAGATTTTGAGGTTTCCAAAAAATCATTTCCGACTTTAACAGAAGATTTGATTGGCTCCTTGATGGCCCATGTGGAATGGCCTCCTGAACGTATCTTTCAGATAAAAAATGTCATAGGCTACTTGCCATGTAATGTAAAATGGTCAAACGTCTTTCGCTTTGATCCAAGCAACAAAGAGGGGAAATGTCTTCACTTTACAGCTTCGTCGAAAGGAACTGTGTTCATTATATTTGCTGCTGTTCCAAATAATAAAGACACATGGTACTACGTTCAAATCTCGCCTTATGGTGTTGGGATATTTAAGGTAAGCAGCATAACTCAATGCTTTTATAATTATGTTATTGCGTTCTGTTAACAAATTGTACCTTAATCCACATCAAATTGTCACCAAATCGTCCTAATTTCATAAAGTACGACAGCTGAAAAGTACCGGCTTTTACACACAACAAAACCTTTAAACGCAAATTTCTAAGGATGAACTGAGCAAGTATGAAAATTTCCTAAATCTTATGGGGAAATCTAAAAAAAGAAAGATGAGCAACTCAGTTTTCGAGCAGGGAGGTTTCTGTGCAAAAGTCTTTAAACAGAAGTTAAGGTGAGGCTAGCTTCTTATGTACGTCAACTCTGGCCTTTTATTTAAGTTCTTATGAGGCGAAATACTTTATTAAGTTCAAATTTTCCTCGTTTAAACAGTCCTTTCGCGTCAAATATTGTTAACTGCTGGGGATACCTCAGTCACTTATATTGAGATGGAACTGACTTCGCCTGTATGGCCACAAACAGTGAGGGCGAAAATTCTAAATTTCGTGTCATTCATTGGCTTGTTCCGTTAAACTAAAGGCGCACATGCCAAGTGCTGTGGTTAAAAGGGTCTAATTTGAACTTTTGCTAATTTCTTATATATATTTTTCAGTCACAGAGACTCATGGTATCTACCGTTGAAAACAACGCAGTTGGTTTGGGAGCTGATATTCTTTATCAGTCATATTTCGTTTGCCTTAAAGAAACTTCCAAAAGCACGGTTATCGAGTATGGCAAGAGTCAGGGCACAACGGAGTTCGGTGACGTCTACCTGACAATGATAGACACTGACCATCCATTGTTTGTGCGTTTCTATTCATTTGGCAATGGAGAAAAGCAATTGGAGGTGGTTGATGCACATATCATCTCACGTCACCTGACCAAAGCTAAGTGCAGAGGAGACACTATGTATGACAAGGAAACCAACATGTGTGTGCAGCATTGCCACGAATTGTGTGATCCAACGCAGGGTAATTATAAAAATGCTGGGATACAATTAGAGGCTGTTTACATAGAGGGAGGAAGATCCTAGCACCAGGGAGATCCTAGAGGGCGAACCATCCTAACGCCATACGTTTTCTCTATTCAGTTTCCATTCAAAAAGTCGTACAAGTCAGTAGAAACCCGCGTATAAGGACCTAGATTTTTTCAACTCAGCCTAGATAGTTTCTTATAGAAATCGATTTAGTGGGATTTTAGGCTACCGAAGGTCTTAACTAGGTTCCTGATTTGATAAGGGCACTAGCGATCAGCACCGATAACTACCACAGGGCATATGTGATGTGGAATATATTAATTGCTGTGCTTCAAAAACTGTGACTTTGAAAATGAGAGAGACACATGGATCTGTATTTGTAATAATTGCATTGTGTAATCCAGTATTGGCAAAGACATGATATGGCCGGTTTTCATTTTGTTCATTCTTTGAATCTTACTGACTGAAAGAGAGACTAAAATTTTTTTTTAGTATTTTCATCTGTGCCTTCATTTTTGTAAAATGAGAACCTATTGTTGGTTTTCACATGACGTCACTAAAATTCAAACTAAAAAACTATCGATCCTACCGAGATTTTACTTTCACGATGCATTAGAGCAGCTGAAAACTAATTTTCATACAAATTTTCGCTTCAAAAGGGTTCTTGGTTTTGTGATAGAGTACGCTTGAATTTCTAAGCTTTTGCGTGATGCGACATTTCAGACATTTACATGACGGCCAAGAAGGCTGTCATGTAGGTTAAAAAAATGACTTATTTCAAGAAATTTTGCTATCTAAACAGTTCATGTATTAGAAAAAGTATTACTTTAATGTTTATGAGTTTCTCGAAGAATAAATTCACGCTTTTGTAGCAAAACTCGGTAACAGATGTTTCTGTTGGTTTCCGTCCGCCATGTTGGAGCTCATCCAGGTGAGCACCAGCATGGCGTCTCCATACAAATCTCTATAAGTTTGGGTAAAACATTTCTTCGGATATCTCGTATACGAAATATTCCTCTGACCTGAATCTTGGCGAGGGTCTTTGTATATGTACCTCCTTTCATTTCCCAGATTCTGGACTTTATCAGTATTGAACAGTTTTGATTTTTATTTAGATCTATTTTAAATGGCGTGACACTGAAAACCAACAATTGAAAATTTTAGGCTAAATAGCTTCTTATGAAAAGGGGGTTTAAAATGAAAATATTATCTTAATTAAATAGGTTCTTAAATTTTAGGTTCCTATTCGCGGGTTTTTACTGTACTTATTCCTAGCGCTATAATCTTCCTACCAGGGAGGTAGGAAGATCTTAGAACCATGTAAACTGCTTTTCCTAGGAAGATCCTAGTACTAGGAACAAACCACCCAAAATGGCGGCGAGTCGTTCAGTGCCGTAATCTTTAACCTTTAATTCCTTCTTTACTGTTAACAACACGGACCGAAATTTCTTCATGTAAACCCAGCGGAAAGTTTTTCCGCCTTCAAGGATCCACCTGGTGCTAGGATCTTCCTCCCTTTATTCAAACAGCCCCTTAAAAACTCAAATGTATTTAGAAACCAGTGCGTGGTTCTTAATCCTCAGGGAGGTCACACTAATCATCCGTTTGACTTTGTGACAGTTTGTCCACTTAAAAAAATGAATAAGATTTAACTGAAACTTTCATATTATCGGGTTATACCTAAACGTATGTATGTACCAATGCTTGAAAAACAAAAAACGACAAACAAATACAAATTAGCTATAAGTTCCCGGGACGAGTTGTCGTCTTTTTGCCTTTTAGTAGAGATGATGTTTTCAGCGATTTAAAATTCCCTTCGATCAAACTTGATCATACTTTATCCCATTCAAAGGATGTCGGGGAAGCCCAGGAAACAAGCCTTTAGCTTCTAACTGCAATGCATGCCGGTATTTGAAGAATGCCATCACGGGAGAGTGCTTAAAGGAATGTCCGTATGATATGGAAAAGGCTGATGACAATAACTGTAAACGTAAGTGTACGAGTACGTTAAAGCTTGACTAAGGTTATATTCCCCTCTGTTTTCAGTCTTTCAAGGGTGACTTTAGACAGGTGGCAGGAGTAGGGCGTGTCGGCTTGCAACTTGGGCGCAAGGAGGAAGAAGGGGCGCAGTCGGTAGACGCAATTCTTCTCCAGACAAAACGAAGGGTAGAAACGGCTAACAGTCTAGCGATTACCTTTAAAAAATCAATAGCTTGCTGAGCTATGACATTTGTTTCTTTTGGCTGTTAATCCGAATAAGAGTACCTTAGTAACTAAATAATTGTCATTTATGGAAAAAGAGAGAACAGCACCAATTATGTAGGGACGTGGATTATTGTTTATTGTTTCAAACGTCTCGCTTTGTAGAGGACATTAATTTTTCTTAGTGCCTTAACACGCTGACTCCGAGTATTATTTCTGATACATGCATCCCCTCAATTCCAGTTGCGACTCGATGACCTTCCCTAGACAGCGAGATTTTTTGTTGTTTTAGACAATGATGAAAAGATATTTACTGTTAACATAGCCATTCACTACCCGAATACAGTCTTTCTATTTTCTCCATTGCCCTTCGAACACCTAAGAAGCTTCTACAACGTTGACTTTAATGCATTGGACATAATTATGGTGAACAGAATCCGGGGAGGCTACATGCTGGACTTGTAGATGGCAAGGTTTGAGGAGAAGAAAAGATGGATAACATTTACCGCTCATCGATATCACATCCCATCTCCGTCCCCGGCGGCCAATTTTTACTTTTGCCCTGATTTTGCTTACGTATAAACCACAGTAATTTATCCTCACTGCATATCTTTGTCGTATGACGGTAAACTAAGTTATGGGAGGAATCCGCGAATGCCTTGACAGGCAAAAGATATGCATGACACAGCGAGGCTTGATGATAAGGTCGCCACCAGGAGTGGTGGAAAGGGCGAAAAGCGCTTCCTGCAGGCAATTTCCTATCCCGGGTGAGGGGGGGAGGGCACTCAAGAGACGTTTGGGTAGAGGTGTGCCGCCGAGGCCTTAAAGCCTTAAAACCTGACCCTGTTTAAGACAAGAGACCATATTTTATGACCCTTATTCGTTTCATTAATCATACAGAATTAAGTAATTTTTCACACTAACTTCATGAATTTAGATTTTTTGGAAACAATTGTTGATAACAGAAATGTAGACCGCTGACAAGACCAACCTTTACACTCTTTTAAAGGTTTCCGATCCAAAACACACCCTGTTCAAGACACTAAATGGTGAATATGTAAATCCTGTTTAAGACTCAAGACCCTGAAAACCATACCCTGTTCAGCGGCACATACGCTTATAGCCCAAAAGAGGGAGTGCCCTCCCGGGTTCTTATCCAACTGAGAGATTTTGCACCATGCTGCCTAAAACTGTAGTAAAAGACCGCAAAAGATCATAATCGACCCCGTTTGCCGAGAACTGTGGGATTGGGAGAAGGCAGGCATGTTTCCGAGACGCGCTCATTATATATGCGATGAGAATATGATCTCAAACATTTTAAGGCTAGAAAAACTGCTTTTTATTATATAGACACGAGTGTTTTACTGGAAAACTGATACCACTCGTAAAATTCATAAAAACTACATTCGGGATCCGAGTGGTTTATTTTCCATAATCTCACACGTGATTTTATCGATGACGTAATTTCGGTAATTTCCCTCTATTATTTTATCGATGTGTTTTTGTCTGTATAATAAAAAGAACATTACACGGAGGCTTGAAGATATGAATTTTATTTTCTCGTGGCAAAAACAATATTTTACTCACTCGCTGCACTCGTTCGCAAAGTATTGTTTTGCCACTCGAAAATAAAATTCATATCTTCGCCCCACCGTGTAATATCCTCTATGTAAACAGCTCTTACACCCCGACAAAAGGTCACAATGTGTTTATTTTCCGTTAGGGAAATTCTCTGACTCCGTTATTGTCGGAAACAATGACCAACACATGGAATATTTAAGCCGCTGGCTCAAGCCCGTTACGCGGAGCAGTTCCTCTAAATGGAAAAAGTGTTGGCGTGCGTCTGTTGATGGTTGGCAGAACAAAATCTTTCATAAGCTGTGTGACTACAAAGGGCCGACTGTACTAATCGTAAGAGTTGACAGAAAATATATATTTGGAGGATACACCAGTCTGTCATGGGGTAATTTATTTTTGAAAAACTTTCTAATTAGTAATTTTTACCACATAAATGATTTACCGTGGGCTAAACGCATGGGCCTGTCGACAAGACCAGATTGTGGCAGGTACAAACCCAGGTCACAAGTGCAGGTCACTGCCCTATTGATAAATAAATAACAAGAGCCATAATGGCTCTTGATAAATAACCGAGATAGGCAGTTTCCCCTTAAGCCAAAACTCCATTTCGGATTGTGATCAGGACTAGGAGGCACTTTTAGTGTTGTTTACTTACCGTTCATGGTGAATTGTACCCTCTATTTTTCTCGCTTCCTCCCAAACCGCCCCCTGCCCCCTAAGTAGTTTTGACACTCACGCAAGATGGCAGCCCGAAACGCAAAGCGCTCGATCTCGACGATCTTACGGAAGAATAGAGGACTGTGAACAGTCTACTGCACTTGTGACCTGAGACCTGCGTTTTGTACCTACCGCAAGGATGGAAGGTAGCCATAGTGCTAGGATTGCCCTGGCAAGAACGAAAAAGTCAACACTGGTTTACAAGTAATTTGATTTTTTGATTAACTTCTATCATCAACCTTTTATGCTTTATGGAAGCATATGCAAGAAATTTGCAGCTTTTTTTCTAGCGAGGAGACATTTCTGGCGAGAAATTCCAGTGGGGTTATGGGAGAGGCCATCTTGAAGTTGTGCCCATTTATTTATTAAGTTAATATTCTCACATCTTTTATTGCCTAAAGTTAAGAAAGCTTGATAAACAAGTAACTGATCCTGGGAGAGTGTTACAAACTTTGGGAACGTGGTGGAGAATGCGATATGATGCGATCGATAACTGCTAGTTGTCCTAGTGTTGTGATTAATACACCTGATTAGGCTGTTACGAACATTAGCTAGTACGTTTTGTTTTCCCATTTCAGATCACTTGATGGTACCTTAGCGAGCATATGCAAGCATAATTTATCCAAAGACAAAAGGCCATTTCCCTGGCAAACATCACGTGGTCTGAATTGGGAAAACAAAACATACAAGCTAAAAAGGTCTATTGAGAACTGTGGGGGCAACAAATGATGATAAAAAATAGATTTGGCTTTTATGAGTGAAGAGAGTAAGAGAGTTTAATGCTAAAGCGTTTGCAAATGTTGACTAAAACGCTAACAGCACCATAGCCTACACCACAGGTAGCCCAAGCTCGAAATATGAGCGTCGGCGAACATCGACAATGTTGCGTAACATTCGAAATATAAGGATTTGTATGGGAAAAAAACCTATCGTTTCTGTAACCTACGAAAATGAAAGGATTTCAATAAAAAACAGCTTTCCTTACTTAAAATGTCTGTTACGTCTCTCCTGTGTGGTCCACGGGCCGATTTATGGCCGTTTTATGTTTTTTTTTTATGTAAACGGTTTTCTCTCTGTAAACCTTTACCGTTACGCAACAATGCCGATGTTCATCGATGCTCATATTTCGAGCTTGGGCTACCTGTGCGTACACCGAGTCATCCCCAGCGTTTTTCCTTGCAAATAGAGAGGAGAGGTGTGACCTGACGTTACCCTAGTAGCAAAATATTTCGATCTCAACAATCTTTCTTGACAGAGAAGGCCATTTGCATTGTCGAACAACGGAAGAAAAGTTTGAGCTACCGTTTTGTTCTTGAGTGCAAACACGCACAGTAGCAACCAAAGCATATCCAGCACGACTCGTGCATTTTTTTAAGAGGTTTTGTTTTAGAATGAGGGAGTCTATTCTACACTAACTTAACAATAGGCCCTTTGCAGCTAGCGATTCACGTGGTACAAAACAGCCGTGCTGAAGAGCAAAAGTCTCACCGAGACAAGACAAAAGAAAAGGCACTAGATGAAAAAATGGATTTGCATAAATTTGCTCCATGCAGATGTCGCAAAAATGTAAAAACTGAGGAGTAAATATGGGGCAGAGAGGGTAAATGCCACAATTGCATACCAAATAACAGGAGGTGTAAATAAACTAGGCAAATGTGGCATTTACGATCTTTGCCTTAGATTTACCCCTCAGTTTCCACAATTTTGCGACATATTTGCAGGGAGCAAATTTTTGTATTGAATCTCTTAGGTGATGATGCCCGGTATCTCGCCGACCCCAAAGCGTTCCTGTTTTCACTGGTAAACAAGCCAGGATGGGCACCAGTCAAACTGCCACAGAGAAAGGACCCTAGTGTTACAGGTGGTGCTGTAGTACATGTCCTAACGAATGGACCTACCTTCGGGTATGGATATGACCTTTATGTTGACGGGTACCGTCATGAGCTAGGGTATAAGGATTCGTACACAAAGCCTGGCAAAACATACACTCCACCAAACGGGCATAGCTATGGTAGTACGTTTGCGAAAACATTCCTGCACGGAGGAAGTGACATGTTTTTCATTCCTGACGAAGTAGAAATGTTTTATGAAACGACCTAAGGTCGGTAATATAATATGGAGCTTTGAGCTTCACTGGCAAGTAATAGCTTAAAACGCTATAACATTCTGTAATCTGGCAGTTAGTTATAACAAATGAGTACCAATATGGTATCATATCATATTGCCGTAGGATGTCTAATAATCAAACTCGGCAAAATATTCAAACCCAGCCATATATAAATACCGCAGGAGCATAATGATCCGGCACTTAAAACATAAGATAATAGACTATGTACTTTTGTTTGGCAAATAAATACCGCAAACGTTACGCATGACTTGTTGATCATGCATTCTTCTATGTATGACTTAGGGATAAATCATGCTGGATTGGACAGAGGCCTTTTAAATTCCTTTCCACTAGTACCCCAGAGTTTGCAACATGTTTATTGTACACCTCTCAAGTGTAATACCCTAAAGTGAGTTAATCGAACAGATCAAAATTATGAACAAGAACCAATTCCCCGATTTCCTAGAGAACACCTTTCGTTGACAAAAATTTATAGTCGGGCAACAAAATTGACTAAAACCTCTTTAGCATCAGGTTTTTCTTGGGAAACCTCAAACCTCGAACTGCAGCTTGCAGTTACGCCTTTGCAATTTCGCGTTAATTTATTGTAAGGTTTTCGAACTTAAGCAAAGCGTTCCGGCGTTGTTTATTGGTGCCATGTTGGTTTTCGTCAACTTAAGCCGCAATGCTACACTTGTATCGCCTGAAAAACATGAATAGTTCATTCATCTGGGTTCAAAAATCTAACTGGCACATCACAGGCGGGTGTATAAACCTATCTCTTGCCTGTAAACGTGAGGCTGTAATATATTTAATGGCAAAAAACCTTGCACGTCGTAAATCATTTACCGCTGAAAATTCTTCCTGCCGTTCAAATGTGAACTGAAAACCGCGAATGCGAGCGCAAGAGCATGGTCATGTGACATACTCAGGTTTGCTGTTACCGCATGAAAAACCTGATGCTAATTAAAGTCCCTAATGAAGTGCAGACGGAGCCCTCAGCGATTACCCGCATGATGTCATGCTGCAAATATCATGTACCTGTTAGCGGAAAAGCGTAAGGGAAAAGCATGAAAACGGCCTACTCCGCACTGGCAAATATTGAACATCTTTTGAAAGGATTAATTTACTTTTTATTTTCAGTAGTTTAATTGAATTGCCTGTGACTGCGGACTCGATAAGAGCTCAGATATCTGTAGTTACTGCAAACGGGCTGTTACTCCCTACAGAAAAAAACCGTGGCTCCCATCTCATATACTTTCACTGATCTTAAAGAGTCATTGGGGACATAAAAATGTCTCTCCTTGGAAGCCCAGGAGCAGTCAGTCGGGTCAGAAATAATGGCATGGTGAAATTTTTCAAGCACGAGCGGAAACTTTCGTCGTTAGGTCAGTGACTGCCCCTGGGTCTCCATGGATGACTAGTCTCTGGCAGTGACCATCCCTATAGGCGTCCCATTAACGGGGAGTTCAACTCTTTTTTTGGGGTGGATAGAAAACGAAGACCTAAGACCTAAGACCCAAAAACGAAGATCCCCCCACTCAGAATAACTTATAAATAGCTAGAAACTGGTATCTCGACCTTTAAACGGTAAGAAATAACAAGATCTTCAATTATCAATGAAATTGATCAGGGTCTTCGTTTTCTTAATAATCCCCCAAATGTAGGAAACGAAGACACCCCTCAAAATCACTTGGAAACGGCTCGAAACTGCTTATAAAGACTTCTAGACACTTGCGAAGTGTAAGAAACAACAGGATTATCAATTACCAAAATTCACCACCTTCACGAGTGGAAAGGAGTAAACAAGGGGACAACGCAGGGTAGTGTGAGCGGCCCCTACTTATTTAACGTGTTTCTGAATGACCTTGAAATCAAGCTAGGTTCCACTCCCGCTCTTTCTAAATATGCAGATGACTCAACCATTGTCGCACCAGTGTGGAAAGGAGGCAGTGATACGTCTAGTGATTTTAACTTGGGCGAACTGTAATTCGATGAGCTGTAACCCTAACAAGTGTAAAGAACTTGTCATAAAGAAGAACGGGAACTCCACATTCTATCCTGTTGTACGTAATATACCACAACATGCCACTCTTGATTTATTATTAGGTTTGACCTTTCAGAATGACTGCAAATTTTCTGCACACATAAAAGCTAAACTGTGCAAGGCCAACAAATGTCTACACGTGCTGAGAGTATGTAGAAAAGAGCGCTACAGCCAGATATAAATTGGTTCTGTCTTCTATAGTATTGTTCTCCCTAACATAACCTACGGACTATCTGTTTATGGTGCCTCCGTTGCGGAAATTGATGTCCTTCGGACTGTCCTTCGGCAATTTCTAGACAGATGCTGTAAGTTACGCTTTATATCTACACAGTTAATTATTAGATCATTACTACAAAAACAAGATAAAGAAATTTTTCAAAAAGCTAAACCCTCTGAAGGTGTGCTTACCGCAAGAAAAGAACAATCTAACCTACAATCTTAGACGTAAAAGCTTCCAAAGGCCCAAGATAAACACCGAACGTTATAAAAACACATTTGTAAGTAGATTAATTTTTAAATACCATTTTTTATGATATTTTATGTCAGACATGTGTAACTAGCTTTTCGCATTTTTTAATCTTTTTATTCTATTGTACAATTTAGCTAGCCTGCGTAGCAAGCGTTTCTGTACGGTTTAGGCGAAAAGAACGAGGAACGAGAGTCAAAGACCGCGAGAAAAGTGGCGCAAGTAAAAGAGCTCTCGTTTCATTTCTCGCACGGTCAAAACCGAAAGTCCCCTTCCTCGGTCTTTCTTTGCTCCGAACGAAACCAAACGGAAACGCTTGCTACGCAGGCTACAATTTAGACGAACTTTGATGTTTTTATCCTGTAACATTGGATATGTATTTTTATCTAATGAGCAATAAAGACATTTATTATTATTATTATTATTATTATTAAAAACGTTTGCGGGATTTAATTACGGCCAGTTGCTTTGTCCCAGGGGAAAGAAAGGTCTTACATCTTCTCCACACGGTTTCGAGTTCTCGGTCTATTTCTTAAGGTCCTCGTAAAAGGAGGTAAAACGACGCGGGCCTTAATTTCATCCAGTATCTTTTACAGCCAAATGCAAAAATTCCACGAAAGATCTTAAAGAAATGACCAGAATGAAACTGTGTGGCTTTGCTTATTTTGCCCACGGATCGACGGATGATCTTCTCACGAAGTCGATCGAACACTGAACAGCTAATACGTGCCCTGTGTATCTAGAAACCTGCTATATACTTCACCATTCTGGAGAAATGTCTACATGATCTCAATTATGTCCTTAATAGAAGAACACTGAATTGATCCTAATAGTATTTTGAAGTTAAATTTTAGTTAAAGCATACTTTTAGCATACTTTTGTTTTGAAGTGATTGCAAGATCCGGACAAACCTAGATCGTCAGAATGTGTCTTTCAGTTTCAAAGTATACTTAAAGTACACTTTTCTTTGAGAAACTATTTCTCACATCCACTGAAGTTTGAAGAAGTATTCTTAAAGTACACTTAAGTATTTTAAGTATAAATGAAGTATATTTGCCGAATATACTTCATTTATACTTTTTTTCTGGAATTACAAAAGAAGTATACTTCAAATGTATTTTTTTTTTAGAAGTACATATGAAGTATACTTGAAGTATACTTAAAGCATACTTAATTTCTGTAAGGGCACGATTAGTCATTTTTCTCGACGTGGTCGTGCACCTAGCAGACTACCAATAATGAAGAAATTAAAATCTTTGTTGAAGAAACACAGAAATTGAGACTTTTTGTATGGAAGGGAATTCTGAAAAATACACCATTGTCGCATAGAATTCATTGTTACGTTAAAAATAGAAATGATCTACACTTAAACCGGAAAAGAAGTAACTGTAAGAGTGTGAGGTTTTTACTTAGGGCAAAACATGAATTAGTTCGAAAACAAGGGAAGGTTTATCTGTCGTCTAAGCATAAAAGAAGAGGCTATTTAGGTGGGGTGAGGTATCAAAATAGGGTTTTAAGTAAGTATTTGTCCCTCTGTACAAGCAACTATCCGGACTCTGACGAGACGAGTTCAACTAGTTTGCGACTAGAGTCTAATTATCTTAACAACGTTTTTAGTAAGAACAATTACAACACGGACTTTGTTAGACGGAACACTCACAGTAACACTGATTCCAACACTCAGACCAACTCTGACCCCGTTACTACAGCGACCATGCCGTACATCCGAGGCACCTCTGAAACTATTGCACGTATATTACAACCTTACAATATACGTGTTGCACACAAACCGATAACCACTTTACGGCGCGCGACTGCTTACTAAAGTCAAGGACAAAGACAAAACGGAGGACAGACAGGGAGCAGTATACAAGATCAAATGATGCGACTGCCAGGCTTCTTACATTGGTGAAAACGGCAGAAACCTAAGCACGCGACTGACCGAACACAAACGAGCGACGAGGAATGGTGACGTCAATAATCACATTGCTGAGTACCATTTACAGACGAAACATCAAATTGACTGGGACAATTTTAGCTTGTAACGCAGGGCACCCACGGTAATTGACATTATACGCTCAAACGAAAACTGCGCAAAATGTCTGAGAAAGAATAACTACAACCTAGTTTTCGGTGGTAAAAACGACATTTTTTGTTTTTCAAAAATGATAAATATTAAAATATTGGCTATTGCACAGGAAGACCATGCTCCACTCAAGCTAAATAAATGTTCAGTCTAACTAACAAGCACTATATGTCTTTTATTACGAAAATTAGAAAAAGTTAGTAATGCAGAGAACTCAAATCTTGTGTTGGAAATGTGGGAAGTTGGATCATTTCAAAATGATCGCCGGGAATGATCGGCGGTAAACTGGTAAGAGCGAACTTAATTATTTGCTTTGCTTGGAGTTACAGGTAAAGAGATAAAGAATGATCTTCCTTGTAAAGATGTCTTCTTTCCCTCTGACTGCGTACGCTGA